TCTAGTCTCTGAGGTAGAAACCAGGTGCCTGTACAGTTGTTGTTTTGCATTGATAGCTATAACCCCCAAAAGCTTGTGGGAAATATTTTGAGTTATCGCAGCTAAGGGTGAGGAAGTTGGAAACTGGATACCTGGATCAGCCGTAGAACCGTGCTGGTAGCCACACCCCCTTTGATGGGTTTTAAGGGTTGATGGGCTTCCTCCGGACTAGCACACGGGGCGAGCCGGGCTTGGCTGGTGCCGGGTGGCTTCCTCCTCCGGTCTGGCTTGGCTGGCACCAGGCGGCTTCCAATAATTGGTCTTCTATAACTGTGCCACTAAGACCTTCATTGCTTCACGAAATTTTCTATGTCTTCCAACTAGACTGTAGCCTTATGGAGCATAAAAATTATACATAAAGAGTTTCTTACATACTCTAACAGCTACAATAAATGAAATAATATAACATTTGTTTGTTTTTAGATCAATACATGAAACATATAGAAAGCAAATAAAAATCCTGAATGAAAACCTGGAAAGAGAAACTCAGAGATGGTAAAAATAAATAAATATAAGTCATCATTTGTGTTGTGAGTGGTGCATGTTAWCTAGAGAATAAGGACATGATTTTCCTAAACTAAATTGTGTATGAGTTCTTTCAGATCTAGAAGTTTCTTAGCTTGATTTTTTTGGTGTTGAACAGAATAAAAGTTTTTCAATTCATTGGAGTGGAGTCAGCAAAGAATAAATGTGCTAATATTTGTGCAATGCCCATTGCCCATCCAGGATTCTGTGTGAACCAATAGGAGGTGATTCCAGGGGAAACAAAGGAGAGTGGTTAAGACTACAGGCTCTGCACAGGGACTACTTTGCTGCTGTACCCTACTATCTCTGATCAAGGCTTAGTAACTTAATACATTCTCTTTACTTTCACCCTTGTAAAGTGTGAATGGYAGTAGTCCCCATCTTATAACACTGTTACAAATGTCAATGAGATGATTTGTGTAAAATATTTAGGTCAATGTACCTGCTCTTACTTGGCTGTGTTTTATTAATATTGTTGTTACTGTTATCAATATTATTTATAAGACTYCAGTTGTGTATTTTTGCCATTCTTCAAATATGTACCTGTTTTATGATGTGGTGGAGAGAAAAATTTGAGAACCCAGAAGCTTAATGTCTCTTATTAGTACTTTGGGTAGTTTAGATAATTCCATTACTATTTATGCCAACAATTTTTCTTTCTTTACCTGCTCCTTAGCATTTCATCTTCCGCCTCAAAGAGGCAAGCAAACATTTCAYCTTCCACCTCAAAGAGGCAAGCAGTCATAGTGTATTATGTATTGTCCACTGTTTTCTTGGATACACAGATACAGCTTCTTACTGGGAAGCAACTTGCAAAGAGAGCATTGAGATAGTTGATGTTTTATCTTATTATTTCAGTTAACTCATCAAGCTGCAAGTTTTTAATTCTGTACATAGTTTAACAAAATTGGTACAGGCACATTAAAATTGGTTGGAAATCTAGAGCTTGTATGTATTGTATTAATATAATTATTACATTATAATATAATCATATTCTTGTTGTTATTCCATATTGTATGATTAAATTATCTGCTATTTAAGTTTCTATAGGTAGTTCATATCTGGGGTGATGGGACAATGGGTTTTCATGTGCAATCTACATCCACTGATGCTAGGAGCGATGATGTAAAATCACAGTAGGATTTGTTTTGCTTTGAATTCTTACTTCTTTTTGGTAAACTGCTGGGTCAATTTAATTATCAGTATTTTTATTCTAATCCCTAGTATTTTAAATCAGTGGAAAATATTATGTTTAAGAAAAAAACATAATCGTTGGGTAACTAAGATAAAAAATGAAATAAATCAAACTATAGAAAACATTGAACATTCGGAAAAGAGACGAACTGAATTGCTTGAAGAGGTAAGGGAACCTGAGGTGCTTAGAATTACTGTAGTTCCTTACGTATATATCAGTGATGCTCCTTCAATATTTGATTAAACCTTATGTTATTATAAGGTATTTTCCTTCTACTTATATCATAGTGTATTATTTARCTTTTTCAGAAATGTTTCCATTTCCTGCATATTAGCTAGAAGGATTTAGCAAATGGAGCAGCAATTGTCTCCCAAATTTGCTTTTGAAGCATGTAACCAGAAACTTATTAAGGGCGCTCTCTCTTAAAATGTGAGACTGAACATCCTTGATTAGCTCCCAGGTTTGCCTTCTGTCCACACACCATCCCCCACCCCTCCCCCATCCTGGTGCCATTTTATAGATATCATTTGGTGAAGAGCTTAATTTCTAGAGGGTTACTGAGGCATCATATAACTTGAAATCACAGGCAAGTCTCATGTGAGGAAGGCTGTTTGAAAAATGTAAGACTGACCACCACAGAAGAAATGACAAGTCTTCAATTTTCTGTAATTAGACCCTTGTTAGAAGAAATGAAATCGATGAATTTGTGGTACAGATCGAAAAACTTTCAACAGAATTACAAGAGGAGGAGGAGGAATTTACTTTAAAAGAAAAACTGTTAATTCTGGAGTTAAAGAAGTATGAGGTAATTTTTACTTTATGTCTCACAATTTTGGATGTGGGGGGGGGATACTATTACATGCTCTTCTAATCAGTTAAATGTAAAATAAATCTTCCAGTATGAACAAGACTACAATTTCACTCTGAATCTTTCTTCTTCTTTTCCTGAAAAAGAAATAGAAATAGAGAAATGAGAAATATTTTTCTGGTTAAAAAAAAAATCATACACTTCAAATAATGCAGAGCTGCTGGCAACATCCCTGGAGACTGGCAGAGCCCTGAAGAAAGAAAGGTGGCAGGGAAACTGGGGAGAGTAAAGAGGTCACCACAATGACTTAGAAACTTCCAAAAGCCAACCTGGATCGAAGTAGGGCATGAATTCCGGGGGACATAGGTAGAGCAGGTATTGAAAGTATCCAGGAACCCAGAGGTTGCAGATCTGCAGAACACAACAAAATTATATCTTTTCAAGATGACACTACCTTCAAAGGTAAGGGCATGATTCTTAGAGGCAGTCACTGGTAGAAGGCAAGAATGGTAGTAGGAATGTTCTGGAAAACCCAGTCAACAGAGTAGGAGAATCGACCCCAAAGTGCTATGAGACTGAAAGAGGCAGACAGATCCAAGGTTCCATGGAGTGCAATTTATTGGGGACTTACTGTCAGAAGCTTGTCTTAGGTGGCAAAAAGACCAAAGGATTCCCATGATTTGGGCCAGAAGGAAGGGTATATAAAATGGTCAGGATAAAAGTGATTTTCATCCAAGTTGGAATGTACCTAGTTTATCTCAGGCTGGTTTATCTCCAGTAATGAAGACACCAGCGTCCAATAGGTCATGAAGTTCCATGTTCCACTCTAATGGTTTTGTTTATTTATAGTATTCTGGGAAAATATATGTAGAAAATTGGCCAGGTTTACCAGGGCAATCAAGCTAAATCCCTACCAAAAGTCTTCCTGAACTTGATTAAGTTTGAAGAGGAAGACCAGGCTTTGGTTACATCAAATAGGGACTTTATTTGAAGAAAACAGTTTCTTACTATGTAGCAAAGTAGTAGGAAAGCCCTTAAAATTCAAAGTTTAGAATTTTACTCTATTCCAATTCTGCTTACCCCATTTACTCCCATCCTGCCACACAATATGGAAACCCTTTCAGATAACTTGCCCAACAATAGTCAGTTCTTTCTGATGTAAGAAATCCAAAAAAAAAAAAAGAAAAGAAAAGAAAAAGAAAAAGACACATCTTCCATTCAAAAATAGTATGGGAAAAGCAAGAGAAAAGGGGAACAAAACTTTCCAACAAATGAGTAGCACTTCAGAAAACTGGCACCATGGAACAGATGAAAACTGTGATCACACATTTCTCTGTGAATTTTTTTAAAATTAGCTTAATAGAGGTGCAAAGGCAGATCATCAATATGAAACTATAGGAACCCAGAGAAGAAATGTTGGCAGATGATGACCAGAAAGTTAGAAGGAGTAAAATGGAAACTGGCTTCACTCAGAGAACAAACAAAAGAAAGAAACCATTGCTCAGATTACTACACGGTTGTAGTAAAGTGGAAGAAACAGAAGGAAGAGGACTCAGGGTAGAAAGCATTCCTCGGTTGCTTACCACACGTTCTGGGAGCCTGTTTCTCTTCAGGGTATTAAAAAAAAATAGGTAAAAGCTCTACCCTTGTGGAACTCAAATTCTAGTGACACGAGGCTGGAAATAAATGATAAATGGAACATGTATAGGGGACGCTGATTAATGCTTCAAAGAAAATTAAGCAAGGAAGTGGGACAGGGCCTACAGTCTGTCTGCCATTGCCAATAGGATAATCAGGGAARAGCTCCACCCTGGAGGTGGATGAGGCAGCGTGCCTGGCAGGTATCCGCAGGACATGGCTGTAAGCAGAAGGCATGCTAAACACAGAGGCCCTGAGGCAGGGCCATCCTATCAGAGGAGTAACAAGGGGGTGGCATCTCTGAGTCAGAGGGGAATGCCAACCATGGTGGGGAGTCATCTGCCAGAAGCAGATGCTAAATAGAATCAGGAGYGTGAAGGTTTATTAGGGAGTAATATCTGTGTAACCTAGCAAACTCGTCAGAGGGGGAGTGGTTCCAATAGAGGACTGCCCAGGTGAAGAGCCCTCCCTTGCATGACATCTGCATTAGTCAGGTTTTGGTGGCTGTGATCAAAATATCTGACACAAGTTGGAGGAGGAAAAGTTAATTTTTGTTCATGGTTTCARAGGTTTTGGTCCATGGTAATTCAGTTCCACTGCTCTGGACCTAAGGTGAGGCAGAATATCATGGTGGAAGGGCCTGGTGGAGAAAAACTTCTCAGCTCATGGCATCAGGGAAGCTGATGGATGCAAGTGGAGGAAGATAAACCCTCCCAGGATATGTTGCCAGTGACCCACTTCCTCTGAACAGGTCCCACCTGCCTACAAGTGTTGACCTCCTCCCAGTAGTTCATTCAGCCATAAATGGGTTAATCCACTGGTGAAGGCAGAGCCTTCCTGATCCCATCATTCCTCAAAGTCCCACTTCTGAACACATGAGACTTTGAAGGACAGTCCAGATCTAAACCACACAAAACCTCTTGCTAGGTCACAATTGGGAGCTATACCTGCAAGAGCAGGACATTGGCTAGAGAGGTGAGGTGAAGCAGCCAAGCTCTGGAGGTGTCAGTTAACCACACTTCTCACAACAGAGCAGGGATTCATCCCTTAAGGAGGATCCAGGTGGAGCAGCCCCTATCTGCCACATCCCTATAGGCCTTTGTAAGATCTTTATCCTTTGCTTTGCTGAGCTGGGAAGCCACTGGAAGGTACTGAGTAGAGAGGTAAAATATTACAACTTTAAAAAAATAGCTTCTCTCTAGCTGCCAAATTAAGTGGAATTTAGGAAAGCAAAAGTGGATGTAGGAAGATCAACTGGGAAGTTAAGCAGTAACCCAAGTGAGAAGCAAAGGTAGCTTAAAAAAAGGTTACAGAAGAGATGATAAGAAGCTGTCTGTATCTCAGATTTTTTGTTTGTTTGTTTGTTTTGGTTTTGGTGCTGGGGGTTGAACATATACATGCTAAGCTCTACTACTGAGCTATACCTCAAGACCTGCCATATTTTTTGATGATAAATGCTAAGAATTTACCACCATACTTAAAAGTAAAACAGTGGAGAAAATTCCCATAGAAACACAAATAAGGAATAAGGACCTTATTTAATATTGTATGCAAGTTTATACAATGCAATTAGGCAAAATAAGTAAAAGAGAAGTATAAGACTTTGCAAGTGGAAATATTGGCAGGTTACAAAACAAGACAATCAACTGCAAAACTACTATAAAGATACCTCCAGCTTGCACTCTGCCAGACCATGTTCCACTACAGGGCTGTGTCCTTTTATGCCTCATTTACGCAAGGCAAGGACTGATGACAGCTTTTGTGCCATTACTATATAGCACACATATTTCTCTTGACAATCAACATCAATAACCTTGGATGCAATGTAATACCATTTCTGTCTTTGGTCCAGTGGCATTAAAAGCCCCAAATGGAAAGAAAGTAATCTCAGAGTTTGATTTATGGAATCATTATTGGTTCCCTTGCCCTTAATGGGATCATTCTTCTCTTCAGCAGTAACYTCTCTAAACCATCAGAGCCTAAAGTCACAAGGAAGGAAAGCAAAACCACTAGRTTTAAGAGCGAGAAGTCCTCCTACTCTTTCGGTCTCTGATCCATAAGTTCTAAGGAAATCAGACCTGAACATTAATTGCTTGGTTATAATATAAACTTATATAAATTTAGAGATAGTGTTTCCCAGGAAGTGTAGTGACTGACTCTTACATAGGCCAGGGGCCTCCACTTTAATTCTGTCAGAACCTTCACCAGTTATGTGCATATTGTGTGATCTTGCCTGCCATGCTGAGTACCATTGGATCTACTGGGTCCCACACAACAGACAGGGTCTGATCAGAGAAGCAGAGCCTCTAAATAAGTGATTTATTATAGGATTTGATCTTCTGCAATAAAGTTTGCTGGCTACAGAATTTCCACAGGCTGTCAGCTTTACACCTGGGTACTCAAGCCTGAAGTCAGCAGGACAGGCACTTGAGGTGCAAGACAAACTGAGACTTGCAGAATGCGTTGGAACCCATGAGCTTGGACAGGAGCCTGCAYGTTTTTGTTTTCTGTTTTTTCTCTCTTCCATGCCTCCAATTTCTTGAGATTGGGACTCAGCAGAAGCTGGAGCTCATCATCACTGAACTAAATATGCATGTGGCTCAGAAATCAGACATACTGAGGAAGGAAYTGAAGAAGGTGTGGACTTGATTGGCGGTCCTACTCCAACAACCTGAGCCCATAGATGAGCAACAACTTAACTTGTCTTAAACGCACTGCACTTGGGACCCCACACCATCACTCAAGGCATTAAATCAACCTGGTCAGGGCAGCATTGGCAACCAAACCGTGTGATGGGATGGGAATGAATGAATACACTAACATATCTACTTATAACCCCAGGCTATCCTTTTTTTTTTTTAGAGAATGTAGTATAAATGGTAGATTGAGTTTCTTTACCTGCTCAATATCTCAATATTGCAGTTTGGARAAATTTATTCCCACTTTCACATGATTCTTAAATTATGATGTTTTATTTTCTTATATGCCTTTTCATCTTTCTCCATTTATTCATAAGGATTCTCATGGCAATTTGGGAGGGGACATCAGCACATCAATGTATTAGTTAAAGTGCAGCCAAGCTTCTCCATCAAAAGGATGTCCAAATACCCACCCTCTCTAATTTGCTAAAAGAAACCCAACTATTAATGCATTTGAAACTAAATAAAWTTTTTGATTAAGTAAGCAGGCATCTTTATGTTTTGCTTTGGGTACTTTTTTCTATTTGTTGCAATATTATATCCAATTATTTCTAATCCTCTTCCCAAATTTTACTTACATGCACATTCCTTAGAATTTGTTTATTATTTTGATGCCCTTTTTCATGAAATATGATCAACTAAGGGAAATATTTTCTCAACTATATTTTTGGTTGTGCATAACATAGCAATAGAAATGTATCAGTAAAGATTAATAACTGAAGGATCTTTGGAGAGGCAATTGAATAAGAAAATTAAATAATTGATAAGAAAATTAAAAGATTTATAGATTGCCAAAGAGTCAGTGGTGAGAACACAAATATTTATTGACTACATACTATATACCAGACACTGTTCTGGGAACCTMGGGTTAGAAAACAGAATTCTAAATTGTTTGTAAATTCTCCAAAATCACACTTCTCAACCAGCTTTATTTTCTTTAAAGGAATTATATGTTCACGAAGCACAAATTCACAAAGAGAAACAAGAGGAACTAATTGAATATATTCCACAACTTCAGGAAGCAGAAGAAGAGTATGAAATCAAATATAAAAAGTTAGAAGAGCTCTATAATATTTTTACAGGTACACATGAAGTATTTGGTAATTAATTTCCATCCCAGGTTCCCTTTCAACCCAGAGAAGTCATGGTGAAATCCATCCAACTTTTTCTACTTCCTTTTACTCTCTCTTTTCTAATTTTCCCCTAATCTACTAATTAACTCTTCTCCATGCCTTCACATCACAACCGTATTATTGCTACTGTCAAATGTTTTCTTTCTCTTCTAAAGACTATTTAAAATTAATAATTATCCATTCACTGTATTATATTGTTTCTTTCCATACTTATAAAGGTAGAACTAACTCCTATATCAGCTACCACATGGAGAAATTTTTTTTTGTTTCCTACTCTGAATTTGCAAATTATATATTATTTATTCATCAATGTAAATATGATAAATGTGTGTGTGTGTTTTCACTAACCTACACCTAAGATAAAGATAGGTGAAAATTTAGTGGAAGATGTGAACTATGTCTGCAAGCATGCATATTTTGCATTCTACTACATAGCATAATCACATGTGTGTTTGATATAAAAAGAATCATTTTCTCCACAAGAACCCAAGGTCCAGAATCATCCCAGAGTTTTGCCTCTTCTCTTGTATTTGGGAAGAAGAGAATCGATATCTAGGGAGTCTGTGCAGGTCTTTAAGCAGGAACCACTTCCAGAGCCTATGTATTATAGATGATGAGAGAAGARTCATTTAATCAGCAGGCCAGAATCAAAAGTTACAGAAAAAAATTGAAATGGGAGCAAAAAGCATCCACTGGAGTGGGAGTGGGAATGATCAGGTAGCAAAAATGAACATGGGGGCAGGAATTAAAATAGCCTATGTCAAAATGGAACATTAAGGAGGAAGCCCAATATGTTCCAATGTAAAAATAAACAAATATTCAAAAATGAATATGATTACTGCCAAGAGAGGTTTTTACAACTCTAATAAGAAGGACATAAATAAYCAGTCCTCTTCCCATTTCTCAGTTGACATTCCACTTTTTGCCAGGTTTTTATTTACAATTCAGTGTAGGTTTTCTTGGCGCTTTATTACTTTTAACCAGACTCACAATACATAGTTATTTTATTGCCAAATTTCTACTTGCACAACTTTTCCTCCTATCCCATTTTGTAGTGGGTGTGGGACATGAGAAACTCTCTGAGTTTAAAGGTGAGCAATACATTGCAAGTACTGAATCTCTTAAGGTAAGGAGAGGAGATGTTAAAGAAAGCAGAGAAAAGAAAGAGGGGAGAACAAAACAAGAGAGAGTGGAAAACCAATGTGCTTCAGCACCTAGGAGAGAGCACCTCCCAGTACTCCACTTATAGACAGCCTGYGTAGGCTCAGGTCACACAGAGCACAGTGCTGTGGCTTTTAGTTAAATGTGATAGATGAAATACATGCTTCTTTGCTCCCTCACAACAAAATGTGTGTTAAAGATTTTTTAAAAATATAATTTCATAAGAAGATAATTAGAAACTATTTTGAAAATCTATACTCCAGTAAAATAGAAAATCCCAAAGACACCAACAAATTTCTAGAGGCGTATGATCTGCCCAAACTGAATAAGGAGGGCATACATTTTTAAACAGATCAGTTTCAAGCAACGAAATAGAAGATGCCATCAAAAGCCTACCAATCAAGAAAAACCTGGGACCAGATGGATTCTCAGCCAAGTTCTACAAGACCTTCAGACAAGAATTAATACTAATACTCCTCAAATTATTCCATAAAATAGAAAGGGAAGGAACCCTTCCAAACTCATTCTACAAAGCTAGTATCACCCTAATATCAAAACCAAATAAAGACTCATCAAGGAAAGAAATCTTCAGACCAATATCCCTGATGAACATAGATGCAAACATTCTCAATAAAATTCTAGCAAGTCACATACAAAACTTATTGAAAGGCTAGTGCACAATGATCAAGTGGGGTTCATCCCAGGGATGCAAGGTTGATTCAACATATAGAAGTCAATATACATAATTCACCACATCAATAGACTCAAAAATTAAAATCAWATTAATAGATACAGAGAAATTTCACAAAATACAGCACCATTTCATGTTCAAAACACTAAAAAAAACTAGGATAGTAGGAACATACTTCAACATTGTAAGCCATACATCCTAAACCCAAGGCCAATATCATTCTAAATGGAAAAAAAAAAAACTGGAAGCATTCCCTCTAAAAACTGGAACAAGATAGGGATGCCCTGTTTCACCACTTTTATTTAACATAGTCCTTGAAATTCTAGACAGAGCATTTAGACAGACCAAAGAAATTAAAGGAATTTTAATATGAAAAAACAAACTGTAACGATTTGCCAATGACATGATTCTATACTTACAGCATCCAAAAAAATTTCCRCATAAAACTTCTAGATTTAATAAATGATTCAGCAAAGTAACAGGATATAAAAATCAATACTCACAAATCAAATGCATTTCTATACATCACTGATGAATCTTCAGGATGAGAAATTAGGAAAACCACCCCATTCACAATAGCCTCAAAACAAAAACAAAACAAAACAAAAAACACTTGGGAATCAACTTAACAAAGGGGTGAAAGACCTTTGCAAGGAAAACTACAGAACACTAAAGAAAGCAATTGAAGAAGACCTTAGAAGATGGAAAGATCTCCCATGCTCTTGGATAGGCAGATTTAATGTTGTCAAAATGGCGGTACTACCAAAAGTGCTAAACAGATTGAATATAATACCAATTAAAATCGCAACATCACACCTATAGAAATAGAAAAGGCAGTCATAAAATTCATTTAGAAAAATAAGAGACCCAGAATAGCCAAAGCAATACTTAGCAAGAAGAGTAAAGCAGGAGGCATCACAATACCAGACCTTAAAGTATACTACAGTAACAAACATGACATGGTGTTGGCAAACAAAAACAGACATGTAGACCAGTGATAAAGAATAGAGGACACAGAGACAAACCCACATAAATACAGTTATCTCATAGTAGACAAAGGCGCCCAAAACACACATTGGAGAAAAGATAGCCTCTTTAACAAATGGTGCTGGGAAAACTGGAAATCCATATATAATAAAATGAAATGAACTCCCTATCTCTCTACATGCACAAAACTCAACTCACGTTGGGTCAAGGTAAAGAGAGGAGATGTTAAAGAAAGCAGAGAAAAGAAGGAAGAGAGGAGAACAAAACGAGAGAGAGTGGGAAAACCAATGTGCTTCAGCACCTAGGAGAGAGCACCTAGGAATTAGACCAGAGACCTTGCACCTAAAAGAAGAAAAAGTAGGCCCAAATCTTCATCATGTTGGATTAGGCTCTGACTTTCTTAACAAGACTCCTAAAGTGCAAGAAATAAAATTGAGAATCAATAAATGGGATGGATTGAAACTAAAAAGCAGCTTCTCAGCAAAAGAAACAATCACCTCATTTGCACCTACAGTATGGGTGCAAATTTTTACCACACACACACATCAGAAGAGCACTAATCTCCAGGATATACAAAGAACTCAATAATAAACTTAACACCAAAAACCCCCCAAACAACCCAATCAATAAATGGGTTAAGGAAAAGAACAGACACTTCTCAGAAAAAGATATACAATTAATCCTCAAATATATATTAAAAAGTTCAACATCTCTAGTAATTAGAGAAATGCAAATCAAAACTTACTCTAAGATTTCATCTCACTCCAGTCAGAATGGCAGTGTCAAGAATACAAGCAACAATAAGTGTTGGCAAGGATGTGGGGAAAAGGCACACTCATACATTGCTGGTAGGACTGAAAACTGGTGCAACCAATCTGGAAAGTAGTATGGAGATTCCTTTAAAAACTTGGAATGTAACCACCATTTGACCCAGCTATCCCTCTCCTGGGTCTATACTCAAAGGACTTAAAAATAGCATACTACAATGATGCAGCCACATCAATGTTCATAGCAGCACAATTCACAATAGCCAAACTGTGGAATCAACCTAGATGCTCTTCAATAGATGATTAGATAAAGAAACTGTGATATATATATATATATATATATATATATATATATATATATATATACATATTACTCAGCAATAAAAGAGAATGAAATTATGGCATTTGCAGGTAAATGGTTGGAGTTAGAGAATATCATGCTAAGCCAAGTGAGCCAATTCCCAAAAACCAAAAGCCAAATGTTTTCTCTGATAAATGGGTGCTAATCCGTAACGGGGAGGGGCATGGATGAGTGAAGGAACTTTGGATTGGGCAAAAGGAAGGGAGGGGAAGGAAGGGGACATGGAGATAGGAAGGCTGGTGGAATGAGATAGACATCATTACCCTAGATACATGCATGATTGCACAAATGGTGGGGCCCTATTTAATATAACAGAGAAGTGAAAAATTGTGCTCCATTTGTGTACAGTGAATCAAGAGCATTCTGCTGTCATGTATAACTGATTAGAACAAACAAATTAAAAAATCAAAAAAATATATATATAATTCCAAAAATATCAAGACATTGGCCAGTGTTTATTATCTGGTGATTATTCATTTATATATTATCTGATAATAAATATCAATAATTTCTGGGAAAGTGAAATTGAATAAAAAAGTTATTAATGGAAAGAGAAATGTGAATAGCAAATACCTACAGGGAAAAGACCCCATGAAGAAAAATATTCTCTCCGCTGAATGTAGGAAGTCACAGGCACTGGCCTAACCCTATTACTGTGAAGACCAAGATGAGCCATGAGACTTGTTGGAAGGAAGTCTTGCAGTTTGGAAACATCTGGTCCAATTTCTTTGCAAGCATGAGGAGGAGGACTCAGTCAATCAGTTGCACAAAGAGGAGATTTGACTTGGAGGTCTAACTATTCCTCATCACCACATAAAAATAAATAAAATAAAAATGTTGTGTTCAACTAAAAAATAAATATTTTTAAAAAACRAAAAATAATATGAGTTTCCAACTTCAAAAGGTCCCATCAAATCTCCCAATTTATAAAAGTACATTAAGTCACATTACTGTGGAATTTCAGGGATAAAATGAGAAAGAGAGCATCCTAAAGATTTTTAGAGAGTAAAAGTAGATCTCATACAAAGGTTATCAACCAGAATGGTTTCAGACCTCTTACTAGCACGATTATACTAGAAGTTAGAAGACTTTGAAATTCTGAGGAAATAGAATTTTCAACATTAGATAACCACCCACACTATCAATGAAGTATAGATACAGAATACAGACATTGATGTATAATATCTCAAAACATTTTTTCTCATGTAGTCTTTCTCTTGGAGCTAGGAAAGAATTTGCTTCAACAAGTTCAGGGAATAAAACAGGAAAAAGTGAATGATATGAGATTTAGGAAATAGGAGGAAGAGAAAAGGAAAACGCAAAGGTGGGAAGAGGAGGTCAGCTGTAAAGCAGGCCTAAGGAAAAGAAGTCTCTGGAAGGCATGTCAGAGGGGCAGTGTGGGAGGAAAAGATATGAAACTGATAGATTTGCTTGTGTGTTTGATGACATATGCAGAAAAAATCCCTTGTAGATTTTGGTATTAGTTAAGGATACATACATGGAACACTAAACAAAATATATTTTTTTCAAATTGAGGCATTTTTTAACTCCAGGAAAAACAAAAGAGAGAAAATGAAATCATACTATAAAGCTTGGTTCATTGATGAATCATATGATCTAAACAATTAAACTTTGTTTAAATAAAAAACATGATTTTATGAGGAGAGTAGAAGGAGGAAATGKTGGTGTGGTGGGTGCAGATGGGGTTTGTGGGTGTGAAAATATTACATATTATGTACCCGCTTTAAGAAACAGAAAATGCCTTAAAACTGTAAATCAATAAATTCTGATAAGCATATTTTTAAAGAAAATTGTTTGAGCAGGAACAAAGGACATAAAAAGAGTTTTTAAAATGTTAGATTCTGAAGAGTGAGCTTTGGGAGCGCCTGATGGCTGGTTTCAATTATGGTAATACTTTAGAATTTGACTTTCTAAACTGGGTACATGCCTTACTTTGATTAATGTTAGTTAACTAAAGACCATTGTGGGTAGTTATTCTCTCTTTCTCTTTTTTAATAGCTCAACAGCAGGAGGAGAAGATAATGTGCAGTAGCATTACTAAGTTGGCAAGAGAATTTTCAAAATACTTAGATAATACGGTAAAGGGTATTCATTCTTCTTTATTTTTTTTTACAGTTCTGGCATATGCAAGCAGCATATTTACCTGTTACCTTGAAAGTACCTGGTACCCTGAAATCCACATTTATTAAACTTACTGTTTCAATGCTATTTTTTTAYTTTGTTTTTGTTTTTATATTTGGTACCAGGGATTGAACCCAGGGGCACATTACCACTGAGCTACATCCCCAGCCCTTTTTATTTTTTATTTTGAGACAGGATCTCACCAAGTTTTGTAGGGTCTCACTAAGATGCTGAGGCTGGCTTTGAACTTGTGATCCTCCTGCCTTACCCTCCTGAGCCACTGGGGTTACAAGTGTGGACCATCATGCCTGGCCAATGCCAATGTTTTWAAATTTGGAACATATTGTGGTCATACATCCACACATGCATGCACATTCAGGCTCACACATATGTGTATGTGAGAGAGAGATACAATTAAGAACCACCAACAGGAGAGGAAAATCCAGTTTTCTTCTTGATAAGGTAAAGAAAGATAATGCTTTTTAAAGATGAATTGGCAGAGGTTTTATGGGGGTGGATGAAATAGGAACAGGCAAAGAGAAGTTTACTACTTGCTTAAAATTTATAATTAATAATTTGTGATAAGTTATGTGCATAAATTCAGTTAATTAGAAACATCCTGTTCTTTGAGGTGCACTGATATCAAAAGGTAACTTGTGTCAGGCATGGTAGTGCATGCCTGTAATCCCAGCAACTCAGGAGGCTGAGACAGGAGGATTGAGAGTTCAAAGCCAGCCTCAGCAACTTTGAGGTGCTAAGAAACTCAATGAGACCCTTTCTCTAAATAAAATACAAAGTAGGGCTGGGGATGTAGCTCAGTGGTCAAGTGCCCCTGAGTTAAATCCCCAGTTGCCACCCTCCCAAAAGTAACTTGTAATATGTTATAAAGAGATTATGAAGGAGACAATTATAAGTCTCATATAAAAACAGTTCTCTTTTTTTAATTAGATGTCTTTGGTGATGATTGACCAGGTGATTTGTAGCAGTATAACAACTGAGCACTGACTAGAGAATTCAGAATTCAGTAAATAATTTTTAAAAATCCATAAAGTAATAATCTTTTTCCTTTAAGAAATATTAAATTCTTTGTTAAAACCTCAATAAATTCCCCCCCCTTTTTTTTGGCCAGGCAGTTGTTCATACATCAAAGTATTTACTATTTGTAAAGTTGTCTCCATGTCTGGAGGTTTTAAATGTGACCCCCTTCTCAAAGTCCATGAATAAATTTTAACCAGTCAGCTTTGGAGTCCGTAAGTTTTTCTAGGAAAAAATGTTTATAGTCTCAGCTTCAGGAATTAATTTAGAGTCAAGCTCTGACTATAATCTATGTAGGCCAGTTTTCTTGTGTCCTATTCTTTGAACTCTGTGAGATAATTGTGTTTATGTTTGAGCAGGAGAAAATTAAGCAAGAACTAAAAGAATTACTAGATCTTGAAAGCAAGAAAGTCAATGATCATTTTGAAATTCTAAAGAAGTTAGAAAATGAAATCTTTATAAATGATCAAAAAGCAAACCTCTTGCTCGTGGAAAATGAAAAATTAAAAAGGGTAAGTTCAAGAGTACCTCATTTTGCATAATGGTTTTCRATTGCTTTTGGCTTCAGATCAATAATACTTGTGTGAGAAAAGAAGATAACTCTTAGAACAAAGAATTAACAGTATCCAGGTATTTTCTACATCCTTCTAGTCACCAATCCCCTCTCCACAAGAGTAACACTATTGGCTTCTAATATCAGTGACAAGCTTTGCCTGATTTTGAACATTTGATGCTTAGAATGAAACAGTATACACTCTTTTGCTCATCTGGTGTTTGTGAGGTTCGTCCTTATTGTTGAGTGTGGTTAGTTCTGTGTAGTATTCCATTCTATGACTGTACCATATTTATATGCCCTATTGTGGATGGGGGTTTGGAGAGTTGCTGACTTTGGGCCATTACAGAGAGTGTTACTATGTACATCTAAGTATCTTTTTTTTTTCTTGGTGAACATATGTACATGTTTCTGTTGGGTATGAATCTCATGTGAAATTTCRGGGTCATAAGGACACACATCATCCACTTTACTACTGATTGGTGATCTCTCAAGAGCTTTGCACCAATTGCCACTCTTACCAGCAATGCATAACAGCACCAGGTTGTTCTACAGTCTCACTAAAACCATCTCTCTTTCTTTCTTTCATGTGTTTAGAAGGATCGTTTCCCACTTGTGTGTGTGTGTGTGTGTGTGTGTGTGTGTATGTGTGTGCGCGCATGCATGTGTGTGTGTGCAGGGGATTGAACCTAGGGTCTCATACATGCTAGGCCAGTCTTCTACAACTAAGCTATCTCCCAACCCCTTATCTTTTTCAGTTTAACCATTTTGTTGGATGTGTGGCAAAGTCAGGCTAATTTTCATTTTCCTGATGAATAATAGAGCACCATTCATATGTTGCTAGCCACTTGGATAGCTCCTCAAAGAACCAGCCATTTGAGTATTTTTCTCCCATTTTTAAAAATTAAGTTGTCTGTTTCATATTGATTATAACTATTTTATAGCAAATGAATTTGTTTATCTGACCCCTAAAATTAAAGTCTCAATCTCAAAAGATCAAGTTTTACTCATTTATACTCGATTTGCTCATTTTAATGTGTTAAAATATTATGCCTAAAACTGAGATATATGCCACTGAATTTTAATACCTCTAATTGGTGTATATAATGAATGACTGAATATATTATCTATATATATAGTGTATACATAAATATATTTTAAAGTGCATAGATTTTCATATTTCATATTGTGTAACAAAACAATAATTTTCTCTAATTTGATGACCTGGGCTAGAGTTTGTCATTCTCTGGTGAAACTGATTTGGAGCAGGTCACCTAACTTGTGGGCATCATTTTCATCCTTTTAAAATAGGAATAACTCCTAATAAATGTTACKCCCTTGTAAACTGACAGTGCAAAAGAAATGCATTTTTTTCTGTTTTCGTGGTGCTGGGGATTGAATCCAGGGCCTTGTGCATTCAAGAAAGGCACTCTACCATCTGAGCTATATCTCCAGCCCCAAGAAATGCATTTTTTATTAAGCCATAATGACCTTCAAGATCAGAGTCTATACCAAATTCCCCAAGTGTTTTGCACAATGCCTTGCATGTTAGAGGGATTCAGTCTCATTTGATGTTCACAAAAACCACATAAAGCAGATGATATATTATGTCCCTTTTATAGATGAGAAAATGRAGGCTCTACATTTTTAAAAAAATTTAATAGCCAAAACAAAATACAAAGCACTCAGTCCTACAGCAGAAAGATGGTTAGGGAAAGTGGCCCACCAATGTCTAGTGCAATGGCATTGGGAAATTCCTTCACAATAGTTATCCTACCATGTACTTTATGTTTTCTTGGTGAATTAAAATAGCATAATAAGTACTAATGTACTTTGAAAGGGTACTTGTGCTTCAAAGAGCCAAAATATGTACCATCACCAATAACCACACACATGCAACGTGCCCCTGTTCTTCTAGCCTTTGAAACAAACTCATCAGGCATTTCATCCAYCCATAGAAGTATTCAATTAGACTCTCTGGCTATCAAAATGATATCAATTATTCATTAAAAGAATTGGGACTGTTATTGGTATTTTGTCAATAGGTGACCAAATGATGCCTATATGAAAGATTGATATGATTAGATTCTGTATTTTGGTTCAATAGCATCTACTAGGCCAGGATGAGCTGTCTTATTCACTCACCACTCTCTGCTTTGCTGACCATGTCCCTTTACTTTAAATATCCACTGAGTCCCAAGCACTTGGCAAAGCATAGTGAATGAGTAAGATTCTACCCTTTGGAAGCTCATAGTCTAGCTGAAGAGATGCATATATAAGTGAATACAATTCATATGTTAAGTGCAACAGTGTGGACAGGGTCCAGATAGTGCTGTAAAGTAAGAGCACCTAATCACACCAAGTTAGGAGCTCAGGGGAGAAGTCTCTCTGAGTGTCATTAGCACAGAGGTAGGATTTATATATGGAAGATCTCTTCAGGGACAGTGTGTTGAATGAGATCAGTGAGCTATGTATTGGAAATCAATTTGGAAGGCACAAACTGTGGAAGAGGAGATCAAAGGAGACCAAGAGAGGATAGTCAGAGAGTTCTGAGARAAACAGGAAAGTCCAGCTGAACCAGGCTGACAATCATCCAGGCTCAAAGAGAGGCAAAAATAATACCTGGGACTTGGCTTAAGGTTCCTTTCACTTTAGTTTACTATAAGCAGGCAAGCCATGCTAGGAGTGACACAAGATCAAATATACATGAGTAGACTCTAATCCATGGTTATAAACATTTCTATGCAACAGTTTCATGTGCACCCCTTCTATGGCTCTCAGTACTAAGAGTTTTATCCATAATTTATAGTACTTGCCTGTTTCTCTCTGGGTAAACTGGGCTAGTGCCAAATATTTATCCCAAAGCCCACATCTTTAGAATTCCTAGAGACGTTAGATTTTTAAACTTCTGAGTATTGGGTGATCAGAACAGAAATCCATGATCTTATTACCCTGACTACTACCACCACCATCACATTATCTAATGAAACCTCTCAATCAAGTGGGCAATTCCATGGGGTCTCATACCTCAATAATTACTTATTTGTGACTTCAGCTGCCCATACATTTTGCATAAGGAACTCTGTGTGTGTGTGTGTGTGTGTGTGTGTGTGTGTGTATGTACATGATGCATTCAGACAGAACATCTTTTAATTTCTTATTTTGGAAAATTATATTCAGAACACCATGTTTATCGCATGCTGAAATGCTTAATAGGAAGCAGGATTTCTCCACAGATGGAAGCTTGGAAAAGCTCGTTCACCACTGTCACCTCACACATAGGACAGTTGGTGGCACAGAGGAATCAATACGTGTTTGCTGAATGACTAAATGGATATTTAATCCACAGCAACTAAACTTCTAAAAACAATCACATGCCTTTCATTTCCAGTATATTTTATATATGAAGATCAATATAGAGAAATACAGAAAAGGCCAAGAAGCCCTTATACACGACTTAAGTGACGCATCGTGGCAACTGATAGCTGAGCACAGTAAGTAATGTGTCATGGGTACGCCTTGCACATAACGGTTTTGTTTCGCTGAAATTTATTTTAATAGTTTGCTTATAATAAAGTGCACCTATTTTTAAGTGTAATGAATTTGGGCAAATGTACATAACTGTAACCACTACCTCCATAGTGAGATATAGAGATTTTCATCATTGCAACATTTTCCTTGCTGTCTCTTTATGTTCAATCTCCCACTCCCACCTCCAATTCCTGGGAACCATTGATCTGCTTTCTAACACTAATAATAAATGAAATAATAGTTTTTACACATTTGTACTGAGGTCCTTGGACCAAACGAAATGTTTTTTAAGATTTATTCACATTTTTCCTTGTCTCATTAGTTTGCTTTTCTTTATAGCTGTATGTTATTATTTCTTTGTATGGCTATACCATAGTTTGTTTATTCATCCACCAATTAAAGGACACTCAGTTTGAAGTTATTATTAATGAAGTAGCTGTGAACATTTGATGATAAGTATTTTTGTGAATATGTTTTTTTCTCTCTTGGGTAAATACCTAGAAGTGGAATTGCTGGATTATATGTTTAACATATGATTGCCTTTTAAGAAACTGCCAATTTTCTTAAAGTACAAAATGATTGTACCGATTTTTCATTTCACTAGTGATCTGGAAGAATTCCTGTTACTTAAAATTTACAGAACACTTTAAAGTGTTCACATTTTAACCATTTAAATACATATGGAATGGTACTTTAATTTGGTTTTAATTTGCTTTTCCTTATGAGAAATATTGTCAAATATCATCATTTCATGTGTATTTGGGGCCATTTGAGTGTCATCTTTTGTGAAGTGTCTTGAACCAACCAGTTATTTTGCAGCATAACAAGTATCACAGACCTAATGGCTTAAAACAGATCGTTACTTCACTCACAAATTGGCAATGTGATTGGAGCTTGGAGACCATGGATGTCTGCTCTACAAACATTAGCTGGGGCAGCTCGAGGGCTGCAGTGGGGAACTGGCATCATCTAAGGACCCACTCATTCCTGTGTCTGAAGTTTATGCTGGCTCTCAACTAAACCTTAGTGGATCTCCAGTTGGCCAAAACACCTCCTTGTGGCCCCTGCATGTAGCTGCTTGGCTCAAAGCAAACATYCCAAAAGACAAAGTAGAAGTTTTATGACTTAGCCTCAGAAATCAGAGTGTCACTGCCACATTACTCTAAGGGTTAAGGCAGTTACCCAGTACAAGGGAGAAGGGCCCCAATACCACCCCTCACTGGGAGCAAGCAGGTTTCCAGAACGGAATGTATTGTGGGGCCATATTTGGAAACTGCAATCTGCTATGTGTCTATTCAAGTCTTTTAGGATTAATGCTTTTTGTGCCTGTGTAAGACATTTTTGCCTGCCCCAAGATCTTGAAGATTTTGCTCTCACCAAGTTTTAGTTTTAGCCTTGATGTCTAGATCTCGGGCTCATATTTCAAGTGAATATTTTTCATATGCTATGAAGTATGGGTTAAATTTCATTGTTTTCAGGGCTGGGTTTGTGGCTCAGTGGTAGAGTGCTCACCTAGCACGTGCCAGGCACCGGGTTTGATCCTCAATACCACATAAAAATAAATAAGTAAATAAAGGTATTGTGTCCAACTACAACTATACACACACACACACACACACACACACACACACACACACAAATTGTTAATTGTTTTCTCTGATGTTTATCCAGTTGTTTCAGCACCTTTTTTAAAAAAGAATATCCTTTCACTGCTATACTAACCTACTTGCTTTTCAAATATCAATTTTATGGGTCTGTTCCTTTATTCTAAATGTATAACGTTTTATCAATACCACACTATCCAGATTATGATAGCTTCATATACAGTCTAGAAAGCAGGTATTATATAAGTTCACCTTTGTGCTTCTCTTTTAAAACTATTTTGACTATTTTAAGTCCTTCCATAGAAGTTTTGAAATCGATTCATTGTCCTATACACAAACACACCCAGAAACCTGCTGGGATCATGAATTTGTGTTGAATATGTACATCAATATTAGGAGAATTGATATCTTAACAAAATCATGTCTTCTGATTGAAGAGCAGAGTATATATATCTCCATTTATTTAGGTCTTTAATTTCTTCCAGCAACTTCGCAGCTTTTAGCTTAATATGTTAGCAATTTGCAGCTTGGGGGTTAGCTGTCCCCAGGACCACCATCAGGCTAATGGTTAGTTAGATAGATCCACAGAACTCGGAGGCTGTTATAGTTATTACAATAAAAAACACACTGTGAAATCAGCAAAGGAAAAAAGCATGCAGGGCAGGATGTGGAGGGAAACAGGTACAAGTTTCCAGTGTCCTCTCCCAATGGCATTGTCTGAATGCACTTTGTTTCTCTAGCAGCAATGTGTGACCACACACACAAAGTGTTGCCAACCAAGGAGGCTTACCTGAACTGTGCTATCCAGGGTGTCTATTAAGGGGCCTGTCATACAGATATACAGTGCTCATGTGACCAGCCTCCACAGCCCAGATGGCTCCTGAGAGGCCCACGTGGTATTTTTCAGGCTATGCTGTTCATGGAGAAAATTGCCTCCATTGAGATCTAATTACTAAATCAATTTCCCATTCCTGGAATAAAGTCCACTTGTTCAAAGGCTTTTATTGATTTTATCTGTTGCTGAATTCAGTTTGCTAATCTTGGTGTCGCATTTTGTATCCGTATTCAAAACTGCCTTCCCCTGCTTGCACTGTGGTCTTTTAAAGCCAGTAGCAGAGCAAGTCTGATCCAGTTATTCTATCATTTTGGACATAGAGAATTTTAGATAGAAATACTTTTTAAAAAACAAAAACAACAACTTTAATTTTATTAAAAGGTTCAAATTGTTTCAGTAATCATTGTAAATTTTAATCTATTTCAGCACATTATGTAGACTTGTGGGCTGAATTTCAGGCCCTAGTTAAGGTAAGCATTTTTTTTTTGTATTGCCTCCATAGTAACATAGATCCCCAAAAATGTTCACTTATGTAATAAAGGTGTATGTGTGTGCATATGTGTATGTGTGTCTAGAAAGATTACAGGGCAGTGACAGAGCTGGTGTGACCATCACATCCCAAAATGGATCCATTGTGCCAAATGTCACCATGAAATCTTAATCCTTACTTTCTTCCTAAACGACCACTCAGTTATAGAGAAGAYTTTTCTTTCCTTCTTTCCTCCTCCCCTCTCCTCTCTTCTCTTTCCTTCCTTCTTTCTTCCTCTCTTTATCTTGCAAGCTCAAATTGAGCACATATTGTTTGATKACAAAGTTGTCTGTTCTGAGTTCCATCACTCTTCATGTTTTACTAGTTATGTGACACCTCTACCCCTCCCCACTTTAGTGGCAAGTAGGCTGGAATTTAAATCCAGGCTCTGCCCCTTTCTAAACACTTAAAGTTGACATAAAAATCCTTTTTTAACCCTTAAAACACTGGGTAAAGTACTGATGGTGCCTTTTTGAGATGAAGCTATAGAGTGAGTTGAAGTAACTTGCTCAAGACCAAATCATGAATGGGGTGGAGTTTAAAACTCAGATTCTGTCTGATTCTATAGTTTTTCTCTTAAACTTTACCTCCTCTGCAGTTCTATACTGAATTTTTTWAAAAAAATATTAATTGCTTTTATTTATATTGACAGTGGAATATATTACAATTCATATTACACATATAGAGCACAATTTTTCATATCTCTGGTTGTATACAAAGTATATTCACACCAATTCATGTCCTTATACATGTACTTTGGATAATAATGTCCATCACATTTCACCATAATTTCTAATCCTATACTACCTCCCTTCCCCTCCAACTCTTCTGCCCTATCTAGAGTTCGTCTATTCCTCCCATGCTCCCCCTCCCTACCCCACTATGAATCAGCCTCCTTATATCAGAGAAAACATTTGGCATTTGGTTGGCTAATTTCACTTAGCATTATCTTCTCTAACTCCATCCATTTACCTTGATTTTATTCTCTTTTATTGCTGAGTAATATTCCATTGTGTATTTATGCCACATTTATTTTTTATCCATTCATCTATTAAAGGGCATCTAGGTTAGTTCYACAGTGTAGCTATTGTGAATTATGCTTCTATAGGCATGATTGTGCTGTCCCTGTAGTGTGCTGTTTTTAAGTCCTTTGGGTATAGACTGAAGAGAGGGATAGCTGGGTCAAATGATGGTTCCATTCCCAATTCCAAAATCTCCATACTGCTTTCCATCTTGGCTGCACCAATTTGCAGTCCCACCAGCAGCATCTGAGTGTACCTTTTCCCCCACATCCTCGCCACCGCTTATTGTTGTTTGTCTTCATAATAGCGGCCATTCTGACTGGAGTGAGATGAAATATTAGAGTGGTTTTGATTTGCATTTCTATAATTGCTAGAGATGATGAACAATTTTTCATATATTTATTGATTGATTGTATATCCTCTTCTGAGAAGTGTCTGTTCATGTGCTTGGCCCATTTATTGATTGGGTTATTTGTTTGTTTGGTGCTTAGCTTTTTGTGTTCTTTATATACATAGAGATCAGTGCTCTATCTGATGTGTGAGGGGTAAAGATTTGCTCCCAAGATGTAGGCTCTCTGTTCACCTCACAGATTAGAAACAATCTATACTGATTTTTTTAATGCCACCACTGCCACTAAAAATTCCAAGCTCTGTAAGCATTCCATTAAATTTTCTCATTTGAGAAACCATTTCTCTGAGCTCTTTCACAGCATTTTGTGAATCAGCTGTCTACACACACATCCATATTGCACTCTGCATGTATAATCCTTTTGTTTTGTACAGAGTCCATTCAGGATGTGTTTTTATTTATTTTGTTGCAATTTATATTCACATACCCCCAAATGCTATTATCTCGTTTAAGGAACTGGTGCAGAACGGTGAAGAGATCTTGCAGGAAATAGAAAATCTAATGAAGAGACTGCAAGACAGAGATCAAAAAATTGAGCTCATCAATTCTTGGCTACAAAGGAATCTTGAAAAACTGCATTCTCTTATGAACCAGGAATTACCAACCCTTATCAGTAAGCAACAGTTTGGTGTTTCTAGAGATCTTTTACTATATCTGGTAACATCAAAAGAGGCAAGCAAGAGAGCCAAGTAAACTCATCCCCAATAATGTCACAAATACCCAATTGAACATTGATACTAGCTTACAGGTTGAATGCAGTAGTATAGAAATATTTGCCAATTCTCCTTCCACACAAAAGAATATTCTAGATAACTGAATCTTTACTTCCTTGTGATTTTTTTTAAAAACACTCTTAAAAAAGATTTTTCAGAGAAGTTCTTTTTAAACTTATTACATACATCCTTGTCTTCTTAAACAAAAGAAATTGAAAATAATTTTCCTTTTTCTTTCTGAACTCAATTTAGCACTGAAAACTGTMATTGTTGGCTCCTCTGAAAAATCTAGTGATGGCTTCAGGGGCTTCTGAGGCTTTAACATGTTTATTTGCCTCTAAGCAAGCAGCCCAGTCTCTCCAGTGGGGTATCAGCTTCATCTTCAAGCCCTGCAGGCCCCAAAGCTCTGTCCCAATTAGAGCTGCTGTTGGAAATGGAGGTGAAGCCTAGTACCGGCACAATCTAAGAGTCCCAGGCGCAGAGATACCTGGAAAGGTGGGACATGGGTGCAGCGAGTTGGGGAGAAGGAAGAACAGAATATAGAGGAGAGATGGGATGATGAATGAAAATAACATCATCTGGCAACTGTAGAGCTCTATGAGGTTATTCAGGTTTGACTTTAAGGAGCTTAACCACTAAATACACTGTCTTAAAAGTAGCCTTTAGAAAATGAAATGGGATAAAAATAGAATGAGAGAAAGTGATAGGATTAAAAGGAGCATGTGGTAAAACCTGTTTTCTGGGGGCTTTGCTTAACATGAAACACTGTTTCAGCACCCAGTGCAGAACTTTGTGGGTCACCTACCCATCAGTTGTTYCAATGGTCCTTGGGGATCCTGGGGATGTTTTTTATGTCCAAGTGCATAAGGGATCCCTGGTGGGTTTTGTTTCTCTTTGCATTTCCTTTGCTAGGCCTGGCCAGCCTAGTCACTGTAGATCAAGTAGTTTAAAGAGCTAAAGTATATATAATTTAATTATAATTTAAACTACTATTTTATATATATATATATGTATATATATATATATATATATATATATATATATATATATATAACTTAGAACACATGACGTAGATGGAAGGACAAAAGAATTTAGATATCAATGACCTGAATATCTCATAATCAAAATGTGCCTTCAAGTTGATATTAGCATCACCAAACCCCAGACATTGAGGTAAGATTTAAGACTGCTAAAACTAGCAAAATTAAAGCTTGGAGATATTTAGCTTTGAACTCCTCCCCATATTCTCAGTTGCTTCCCATTTTCTAGATGTCAAGAATGTTGTGAAGATTCCTGGGCAAGTCTATTGTCTGCTACAGGGGACCTGGGACCAAACCATCCCTTCTCCTATTTTCATAGGGCCCAGAACTAAGAGTGGGTTTTATACCTTTAAATGATTGGAATAACCCAAAAGAATGATAATGTTTCATGACATCATAAAACTACATTAAATTCAAATTTCTATGTCTATACATTTTATAGACACATAGCCACACTCCCTGAGAAAGGCTGTGTGTCCCACCAAGCCTAAAATATTCACTATTTGGCACTGAATAGTAAAAAGTTGCCAACCCCTGGTTATTCAGAGAGGGTCACAGTGAGCTCTGCTGGTGAGCCCTAAGGATCACATAGGCTGAGAAGGGGAAAATAAAGGCTGACTTCTTTGTTCTAAGCCACACAATGATGAGCAAACTGTTAAACAATGACCCATCCAGGTAAAATAAAATTTTCGCTGAAAATGAAAAGAATGTCAGTTTTATGAAAAAATATACATTTTATTGAAAATATATTTTTAGTCAATAGGTTATTGACTGGCAGAATTTCGATTTAAAATTCAATACTATTTGTAGTCAATAAAATGTTGATAATTGTATATAGAAATACTTGAAAATTCTCCTGTTTTTTAGTTTTCACATCACAGGTTACTACTGTTGCTAAACTATATTTACAAGTATTTATGGAGGCCTGTTGTATGCCAAGCACCGTTAAGACATCTTGTTTACAATGGTGAAATAAACAAATACAGTCCCTACCTAAATGGAACTCACAGTCTAGTACAGAGGTTGACAAACTTTTCCTGTAAAAGGCCAGATAATAAATATTTTTTTGGTTTTGCCAGTCATGAGATCTCTGTAGCAATGGCTTATCTCTACCACTGTAGCAGAATTACCCTTAAGGTGTAACTTGCCCACCTTGGTACAGTGGGAGCATCAGGTATGGCAGAGATACATATAAAATCCCGAGGGTACTGAAGGTGGGGCAGAAGTATGAAAGAACCTAGGAGTGAGAAAACCTGGTTGAAGAATCAAGAGAAAGATCTCTTGAGAAACTGGAGATAGAGCTGAGATCTGAAGGCAGTTTCTGGCTTCCCATAGATCTATGTAGCTCTGCTTCTGAGGCACTGGTGTGTAGGGTTGGGGGCAGGAAGGTGTAGGTTTGAATCTCAGTTCTGCTTCTTAATTTAACTTCCGTGTCCCCAGTAATAAAATAACTTGGAATTAACAGGAGTTTTAAAACATCAAACCCAYAAATTACTCATTATATCCCTGAAATCTACCACCTTCCTGGGGAAGGTAAGAATACAATTTGAACCTTGTATTACTTGATCATCTCTGAGCCACCTGTAATCTAACCTTTGAATGTGCCCTGTTGAATGGCTTCTCCCAGCGAAGGATTTCTCTTCCAGCGCAATAACCGCTCCTGTTCTTGTCTGAACACAAGATATCACTGCAGCCCTGTAGATCCTGCCCTCCTTTATGACCACTGTGATGGCTTCACTAAAGTATTGAGTGCCCTCAGCCTGGCTCTAGACCAGATGTTGCAGTGACAAAGTTGAATAAAACTTAGCCCTGAACCTTGAAGTGCACACCCTGTGAAAATCAGAAAAGCCAGGAGATGATTAGAATAAAGTGGATCTCTTCTATTAGGTGGCTATGGGATGGCAAATCTCTTGAGTATTGCTGGGAGCACATGGGTGTCTTCTGGAAGGAGTAGCATAGACATGAGCTGGCCAAGAATGCCAGTAACTTGACTGCATGGGGATCAGCTAGGGGTGCCAGTTGGAAAGAGTGGGGGATTATCTGCCACATCCCTAAATGCCAGACAAAAAGATAAGTTATTTCTTAGTACATACCTAAGTCATATACATAGTGATTTAAAACAGATTATTTTTAAAGTGTTAAAAAATTCCCAAAGCCCTTGAGTATACCATATAGATACAGATAATTTGAGTATTAAACAAATAACTTAATACATGCTCTCCAGAAGACTTTTTAAAGAGGACATATTAAAATACCAAAAAAAATCATATAACTGTCAGTTATCTTTTAGTGATTGTTTAATTCTGGGAAAGAACCCATTTATAATCTTATAATTACAGGAGGTTCAAATTTGGGGGGAGAAAAAACAAAATCATATGCCCCATAATTGTCAAAGGTCTTCTGGAACAATTGGGAATTAAACAATGAAGAGTTTAGACCAGTGATTCTCAAATGTTAAAATCAGGTGGAAATTTGAAAATATCCCAGGCTCAGGATGCTCCCCAAACCAATTCAACATGAATGTCTAGAGGGGGGAAAAGTTTAAAAACTTCTCCTGAGGTTTCAATGTCTTACAAACCAATACATTTAGACAAATGTATAGCAATGCAGTTACTAAATTTATCAATTGACCCAAATGAATAAATATAATATTTTGACTTTTTAAGTATTCAGAATTGATTTGCAAAATTATTACCAGACACTAAGCAGCAAGAAAGGTAATATGCTATAAACTCCTAAATTGAAACTGAACATAGCTGAGCTAGGAAATTTGTTTTGTATTCAATGATCACATTTTCCAAATTACTTAGTAACATCAGCAACCTTAGTGGCTCTGAATACCAATTGTCTTGGGCTTATGAAAGCAAATCTAAAACACAGATATTATGTATTCATGATTTCTTTGCCTCTGAGGACTTGTAATAATTTCTTGCATGACTTCTCTTTTTGCACAGATATTTTTCTGTTAGAACAGGATACCTGAAAAGGTGATTGTTAAAATGGCCTCACATATAGTGGGAGCTGAAGATACAGTCTTGGTAATCAGATTCATGTAACCCCCCCCCATGTACCCAGTTACATAATTTTCCAATGGAGGATTCTTGGGGCAACTCGGGATTTTAATGTACACTAATAACCATCAAACCTATATGAAATGCAAATAAAATTTACAATTTTATGTTTTATTCCTACAGAAAAGAAGAAACTAAAGCACAAAAAAAGAGTCCATTTCCAAACAACACCTGAATGTCCTAGGGAAAAGGCATTAACAAAGAAGTACTTCTCAAAATAACTAAAGGACATAACTGCTGTGAATTTGAAAGGTAAAAACAAAACCACAGGAGAAGTGAGTGCACTTATTTTCATATTTTGTAACTGTTAATAAAAGTGTTCTAAGTTTGAGATGTAAGTAAATAGTCTAATCCCCCACATACTGGCAGAATCAGTGAATACCTTCTAAACAATATAAATGGGGCATAGCCAGATTATAAGTGCTAAATATTTTACTTTGCTTCCATGGCTTAGACCATGAGTCTCTTGAAGCCTTCAGAGGATAAACATCACTGTATACCTAACAAAAACCAACCACAGAAAAAACATTTACATTCTGGGTTTAATTAAACCTGAGAAGCTGTAAGATGTATCCTAATTCAGAAATGTCATAATGTGAGAAGATGTGTCTCAGGATCAACAAAAAAAGTGTATGTGCTATATACAGGATGATAAAGAAACAAGATAGTAAGATACAAGAAAAGAAATATGTGACTATATTACTTATTCATTTGGGAAGAGACTAAATTTACTATATAACATTTTAATTATTTCTATAATTAGTGTGGTAAAAAACAAATTTCAGAACATTTGAGTTTTTTATAGTTAAGCTTTTTATTATTTTCTTTACAGGAACAATAATCTGAACATGTCTTCAAATTATAAACAGAAAACCTGTTACATAAATTATGCTCTATTTCTGTATTATCAAAATACTGTATTGGTGAAAATAAATAGATAACAAAAAACAATACTTTATTTCCACTTTTGCTGCAGACCATACAAATATGTTTGTCTTTGTAACCCATTATAGGTGAAAAACAAATTGAAACACAACAGGCATGCACAATTATGTCACTGCTAGGGATTTCTGATTATACTTATTAAAGTTTTTCTTACTAAAAAGTAAGAAAAACTTTAATAAGTATATTAATAATAATATACTTTAATAAGTACATTGCTACCAAGTACACAGAAACATGATTATGCTCTAAGAATAGCTGAAACTTCCTTAGAAGTTTAGTTTAGGCTTCTAGTGTGATAGATAATATTATACTATGCAACAGAGTATTATGGTATTTCATATTTTCCATGTCTAACCATAAAGTTGTTAAGTCAAAAACAAAACCAACCAAACAAACAAACAAAAACAAACATTAAGGTAGACTGAAAATCTTGTTCCCATGTGTGACAGAATAATTCTAATGCATTTTATTAAATTTCTTTATTCTTTATTAAGAACACTTTTTGGGTTTTTTTGGCATTTTATATTCAATGTCCATTAGCTCCTTCAGAGAGTATCCGTGAAGGTTCTGTAAATTTTGAAGTGAACAAGTAAAAAAGGGCTGGTGTAGGTACTAAAGCCAAAAGGGGTAGATCTTGCTCAAGCTTATCCACTCTGGAAATGGAGATTATCCCATAGGCATGAAGTAACCAGTGGCTGAAGAGAACAATTAGTCTTTTCTTCCTGACCAGAAGATCATAGCAGTTCTATATAATTTTATAAAACAGAGAAAATAGAAATACAGATTATCAGGATGAATCTGCTAAACAATTTGTTTTCAAACCAAGTCATAATCTTGAATTCATATAATATTTGAGTTAAAAAGGACTTAATGAGTCACTTGGTTTACCCATTCATTTTACAGATGAGGAACTTGAGATTTCCTTCAGTTATAAAAGCACTGATCTACATCACAATTAGCTTCCTTCTAGAAGGGACTGTGGTATTTCATAGAAGATATGAACCAGAAAGAGGAATCCCATACCATGTGCTTTCTTCTTGCCCTGATCCACTGTAGCTATGAGTTTATAAGTGGGATAGGAGGTACATAAACCCAACTTTCTCAGCCTCTAGCAATCYTAGAGGCTGCTGCCTGAATCATTAGAAGAGAGCAGAAATGACATGTGAATACTCTGATTTTCTTTTTATTTTTAATCATGTTCTACAGTCTGCAGAAACTGGAAGGATCAAATTCCTATGAAAGAAGCATCTAAATGAGCTAATAAACACACTGATATACAATTTATAAAAGGYTAGTCACCAACTTTCTCTTTATCATTCATGACTTATCAACTCACCTAGAACTAGATTCTTTCCTTGATTCAGGTCCCTATTTCTGATTCATATGTAGAGGACTAATTAAAGTATGTGAACATTTGACATAGGAGAGAGTCACAGGTCAGAGAATTATAGTTTGAAGCTAATTTAAAASTGTATAGCTAATTCTTCACTATGGAGAACAAATAAAAATTCAAAAACCTCATCTTATTTAAATATTCAAAATCTCTTCCCTAGAACCTTTCCCTGCAGTTGATAAGGTGTCAAAAATAACTTTCTACATAGCRTTGTGTAATCCTAGGAGCTCAGGAGGCTGAGGCAGGAGGATCGAGAGTTCAAAGCCAGCCTCAGCACCAGTGAAGCATTAAGCAACTCAGTGAGACCCTGTCTCTAAATAAAATACAAAATAGGGCTGGGGATGTGGCTCAGTGGCTGACTACCCATGAGTTCAATCCTGATAGCTGCCCCCCACCCCCCCCCCAAAAAAACTAATGTCCTATCTTCTTTGATTAATCTTAATGAAACAATGATTAAATATTACAAAGGAGAAATGAGGATAGCCTACAAATGGGAACAACTGAATAATCACTATCAGAAGTTCTTTTGCTATTACTCTACCTGAAAGCCACTATGATTTCCAGCACCTACCACCGTTTTTTCACTAATGTACTACTCAAAAATAGTTAACGACTTATTTTCTTTGTTTTTTTTTTATGCTACAAACCATGAAAAAGCACATTTCTTATCAACTGTCATGAGCAGTTTAAGACAGATCACAGACACTACATCAGCAAGCACAGGATGGAAGCATCTAAGACCTTTTACCTTTATTCCTTTAGGGTTTAGCCTCAAAATAGAGTTCTTAAATGACATTTWAAAAAATAATCAGAAGACAGCCAATTATATTAGAAAGAAAATTTCAGAAGATTGTATGTGAACAAATATTGTGGAAAAAATAAYTAAAAGTTTAATTAATACAATTTTCCCAATTTAAAGAGTCAAATATACTCTTCTCAATTATTGTTCATATTTTTGGTTGACAATACCTTAGAGTTCTTTAAAAATAGAAAATTTTAAATATGTGAATGACATGATATTCTATTCTATTCCTCCAACCTAYAAATTAATCAAAATATGCTTTTATGGTCAAAAATATTCTGAAAATACAGACAAGTATAAAATTAAAAATAACAAAAATAGAGTTCCTTATAACAGTGGTCTTCCACTAAAATATCAGAAAGTTTAAGGCACAAAAACATGTCTCAAAAAAGGAAACAGAATCAGAATTAGTTTGTCTATCAATGTGATTTCCAAATCACCAAAATATTATAGACTTTATAGGACAAAGTGTTAAAAAAAACTTATAATCAAGATGATAAAACATAGATATGAATAAAGAGTGAGAAAACATAGATATAGAATGCATAATAAAGTTTTAAAATTAATTCTACATGCAGCAGCAAAGCACAAAGCACTTAAATAGTGTTAAGTTCCAACATTTTGATAGTTAAATGGTTGCTATGTGAGTAAATTATGTGAAATGATTTTTCTTCACTGTGCTGGAATAGGAAAACCTTTACTATGTCATCAATTTCCCAAGGAAACATAATGGAGCAACACACACAGCCTTCCAGAAACTTAGATAACAACCTAAAAGCTACCAAATGAAACCAATTAGCCAAGGATTACTGAAACAATTAGTTGTACCTTATCACATTATATGTACTATTTTATTGTCAGATTTATTTCAGAATATCTTTAACCAAGGGAAAAAAAAAAACATTTCCTACCTCTATTTCAGAAGCCGACATGTATACTGCCAGAGTGAACAAAGATAACACTAATATAATATATGGGAAGGCATAATCTGAAAGATAAGCATCAGTATTATTGTTGGAAATTAAACAGATTTCTGAATAAACCATTAAATAAATTCAGTATAATTCTCCCTGGGTCAAATTGTTTTTCAACTAGTTCTGTGAGATTTGAGTCCCAATGTCCTGAGACAGGGATCAGCAAACCTTTTCTGCAACACTTTTGGCTTTGCTGGCAAGGCAAGTGTGTCTGTTTTAATTACCCAACTATACAGTTGTAGCTGGAAAACAGTCATAGAGAATATATAAATAAATGGGCATGTCTGTGTTCTAAGAAAACTTTACAGACACTAACATTTGAATGCCATATGATTCGCACATATCAGTTAATAAAAAATCTTTTTATTTTTTTTCTAATCACTTAAAAATGCAAAACACATCCTTGGTCCAGCTTTGAAAGATCACTGCCTAAGGCATCCATTGATTAAATTAAAAGAATTAAATTCCTCCTGTGCATCTGGAATGGTACCAGTTATATACTAACTGGGGAGAATTGAGAAAATAGTTACTTAAACAATTTTCTGTGCTTTGTGGCCCAGGAGGGGAGCATTGGTTGAGAAAGACTATCTTTAGCTACTTAAGCTTTAATTAGTTTTTAGAAAAGTTCATTTATCAATAAATTTCAAAGGATTAATAGATCTTTCAGCATTATAGTAATAAATTTTGGAAATTTCTACTCCACATACAGTACAGTAATATTTTAAGCAAAATTTTTCCTACRTAACACTAGTACTCTTTGAAATTTAGAACACACAAAAACAAATTAAAAATATACTATGAATTATTTTTGTATGATTATTTTAAAATGATTTTTTTAAACCTTTATATATTTATTTATTTATTTTATGTGATGCTGAGGATCAAACTCAGGACCTCACACATGCTAGGCGAGTGCTCTACCACTGAGCCACAACCCCAGCTTCCTAAAAATGACTTTAATTTAAGAAGCTATTAACCATTCTACAATTCATTTGGAACAATTCAGGATTCTGATGTTGAAYTATCCATACAGGGCTTATTTCAACTTACTAAAGAGCTGAATGACTTGTTTGACAGAACTTTTCATGATACAGTGACTGGGTCCTCAAACAGTCATGACAAAAACAAAAACAAAAACAAAACCCATTTAATTCATAAGAAGCTAAAGGATGTTGCTAATGATACAWATTTTTTTAAGACTGTGCAGTAAAAAGCCATATGAGGTAAAAAGGAAGAAGAGGAAGTTTCTAAGGAAGGCCAGACTTGTAGGGAGTAGAGGGAGGTACTTGGCTGGAAGCAGGAATCAAAGTGGTCTTTAAACCCTAGTGTGTAAAACAATCTGAGACTCTATGAACCTAGGTCTGGGATAGGGCCTTGGAATCTGTATGCAGAGTCAGAAGCAGATCACACTTAAAAGCCAGCTTTGATAATACTTCCAAGCAGGTAAAAGTTTATAACTGACAACGTCCCAATCACTCCTAGTACATTTCTCTYTGGACCTCAATCCCCAGGAGTTGTAGCTATAAGAAGCTTCCTGCTGCTCTACTTTGCTCAGACTCATTATATCCTCTACGAACCAAAAATATTTAATTTTTTTCCAACATTATAAAATTGAGTTGGTAAAAGCCCTCTGTGACTATTCTCAGCAGACTGCCTAAGTTTATACTTAGTGCAAAGGAATATTAACACCTTGATCTTTCCCTTGAATGTGCTCTGAGTGGTGGCCTGTTAACAAAATGAGTAAAAACCATTCAGTGCGAAGAAGCAAATTTTTTCAATATAGGCAGCTGTGATATAGGAAGCAATGGTGTTTGGGAGTCTCCATGGGTTTCCAAACCTTTTCCTGCCTTTCACAGCCTCTCTCTTTCCTCCATTTCATAACCAAGAGCTTAAGTATAATAGCACCAAAAATCCAAGGCAGAGGAAATTGAGGGCAGCCAATTCTTAACTCTTTCCAGCTTAACTCTTTCCCAAACTCCAGACTGGAAAACACTACTACCTGTAAACTTGGATACTGAATTCACATCTACCACCCTATTTGTTTCCTCTAATGTTCACTATTTATCCACCCACCAGCAACTAAGAAGGCTACTTTATCCTATTCTCATCCACTCCTTTAGCCCTTATATTCAATGTGTTATTCCCTCCTCTTAAATAGCTCCTCATTCCCAGTACTTCTCTGCCTTAGGTCAGACAGTCATTCTTGGCTTACTGCAATCATCTCTTAACTGATTTTCCAGGCTCCCCTCCTCTGACAGTTCATCTTCCACTGGGCTATTATCCTTTTAAAACACAAATCTGATCCTGTCACTCTTCTGCCTAAATCCTTTTCAGAGTAGTTCCCTATTCCATAGAACAAGAACAGCAACCTCAAATGCATACAAAGGCTAGCCAGCCAGGTAAATAACTCAAGTACTCCAGTTTAATAAGAATGGTAGAAACTGGAAAGAACTCTAAATATTCAAATACTGTGTAATAGAATTAAAGAGTTTACCTGTAAGCTAGAATAACAAATCCCTGATTAACCTCCAATTTCCTTTTCTCTTGTTCTTACTTTCAATTCTGTCCTTACCATTAACCAAATTACATTGCCAACCTACATTATTTGCATAATGATACCCAATCCTGCCCAGTTCCTTTGGGCCAGAAGGCTCAGCCTCTGTACTCCACAGACTGTGTAARAGCATTATCCAAATCCTTGGTTTGCTTGTTTTTGAGGAACTGGGAATGAACTCCAAGGGTGCTTTATCACTAAACTTAATCCCTTGTCCTTTTTATTTTTGATTTTGAGACAGGGTTTCACTAAATTGCCCAGGTTAGCCTCAAATTTGTGATCCTCTTGCCTTGGCCTCCCTAGTTGCTCAGATTACAGGTATGCACCACCACACCCAGTTCCAACACCTTTGGAATGTTCCATTCTACAAATTCAAAAGTACTATACTGCTGGGTCAGTAGTGCATTCCTGTAATCCCAGCAGCTTGGGAGGCTGAGACAGGAGGATCACAAAAATCTAAGTTAACCTCAGCAACCAGAGGACTTAATGAGACCCTATCTCAAATTTTAAATAAATAAAAAAGGACAAGGACTAAGGACATGGCTCAGTGACTAAGTGACCATGGGTTCAATCCCTGGTACCAAAGGAAGAAAAAAAAAAAAACATACTGTGTTCCTCTGCTATTTACAGCTTCCCTGCTTTATCTCCTAATARTATTGTGAGTCCTTTAACAATGCCTTTTTCTTGATATTTTTAGTTAAAGTTCAATCTAAATGGTTTCTGAATAAATAAATGAATGGTTATCTTAAAGAATAGATTGTGAATGTTTTACTGTATGTAAAAGATTTTCATAAAGGACCTTAGAAATCTAAGGTCTAATTTGTTATGGTTTGGATATGAGGTATCCCCTAAGGGCCAAGTGTGAGAGAATGCAAGAAGGTTATGAGGAGAAATGATTGGGTTGTAAGTCTTAACCCAATTCTATCAGGGATTAATAAAAGTGGTAGGGTGTGGCGGATGGAGGTGGGATTTGGGGCATGGCTATGGGTATATATTTTGTATATGGAGAGTGGAGTCACTCTCTCTACCTCCTGGTCACCATGATGTGAGCTGCTTCCCTCCGCCACCCTCTCCCGCCATGATATTTAGCCTCACCTCAAGCCCTGAGGAATGGAGCTGACCTTCTTTGGACTATGTATGACCTTTGAAACCATGACCCATCAAATAAACTTTTTCTCCTCTACAATTGTGCTGTTCAGATCCTTTAGTCACAGCAAAGGAAAGTTGACTAAAATATAACTTAAACAATTTATATCATCAAGACTAATTTCCATCTATTATAAAAATTTAGTTTTGTAATTTTTATTTTATAAATAAAATTTTAAAAATCTTTTAAAAATCTTCCAATTTGGTTATAAGCTTCAAATGCAAGGTATTCTCTAAATAGATATCAGTTTTGATTAGCTGTCATCATTTTTGTGAGAATTTCTATTCGATTCTGTTTTTATAAGACTGATTATATGTTTTGGCAAAAGTTCATGCTAAGAGGCTTGGGATGTGACTCAGGGGTAGAGGGCTTCCCTAGCATATATGAAGCCCTGAGTTCAATCCCCAGAATCACTATATATGTGTGTGTGTGTGTGTGTGTGTGTGTGTGTATACACACACACACACAAAAGCTTTTTAAGGATTAAAAAATGAGCTTAAAGAAAAAGCTACAAAATTAAGAAAAAATAATGTTTATTACACATAATAATAAAAAATTTCATTACCTTTACTCATCATACTTACAAAGAAGGCCTCCGCCAACTGCCTGAAGCACAGTTAAAATTGGGAAGAAGTATAGTGCAGCATAAATACTTTTAAATCGATCAGACTTCCCTAACCCACATGCAATCTTCTTCACCAGAAGAGGTCGGAGCAGCATCATTAATACCAAACAGAATGCATAATAGATAAATACAATGGTGTACCTGTAAGATATAATCGGGAATGTGTACCATCAAAATATGTTTAAAGGTGTTTTTGTCCTTGATATTTTAAAATCAAAGATTCTAAAACAGGTTTAAAAAGTATAGTAAGTCTACCCATCAGATATTCAGAYTGCAGAAGGTTGGCCAACATACAAGTGTACATTGACTGGTTTCTTTCCTGGCATTTTGGAAATATGCATCAAAAATCCTAAAAATTTTAATTTATAGCCTTTGACCTAGAAAATTTACTTATTTATTTATCAAAGGGAAACAACCCAGGATACACAAAAAAACTTTATGTATAAATGTTTTTATTGAGTCACTTATAAAAAAGAAAACTCAGGAAGAAAATAAATACTCGACAATAGAAAACTGGTTAATTCTATAGYATATTCATGCTGGAATATTGTGCAGACATTAAAAATGCATCACATGATGTACATATGTATAGAAATGTCATGAGGTACCTAATATCATGTACAATTTTATGTATTAAAAAATAAATATTAAAATTCAATGGAAACAAAAACAGATGTAAATATTTTTAATTATGATTTAGATAAGTAGTTTGGAAAATATGGAATTGTTTGACTTGCATTTTACATATTTTCAAATTCAGTCATCTAAAAATAAAATCAAAAGCAAACCAACAAAGCTTGTAAAATACATGCCTCTATTGTTCAGCTCTCCCCTTATTTAGGACGTTTGTTTTGTTTACTATATTATTATTTACCTTAAAGTAACTCTGAATTAATTTTATTAACAAAACAATAGAACAAGATAAAGCAGTAAAACAGTGCTTTGATTTTCCTGGAGAATATTATACAGGTATAACTAGCTTGATAGGCAGATGACAAGCTATGAAGTCTCTTAAATAATAACGTATAATTGAATTAATTACCTTGACTTTTCACCTGACATTGCTGGAATATTTGCATTTTTATCACATAATTTTATAATGCCACTCTTTGTGTCTCACCCAAAATTAACAAAATTCTGCAATTCTACTTGACTTTTTTTTATCCCCACTAATTTTTGAGAGCCAATAGAGTTTGAAATTAGAAGTGCCTATCATGGGTGCAGAATGAGGGCTGGGAGTATCTTGTTGCCATTTCTCTTCTAATCTGATATTTCTATAATAAATACCATACATATGACTAGTAGTAAATGAGTCTGATTTTATTTTAAATAAGTAACTACATATCTTATTTAAATGTGATAACCAATCAGTTCTTAAGTTTCCTAAATAGGACTAGGTTAAATTCTGCAAGTCCTCAGGACAGTATATAACAAAAGAATATCTGAAGTTCAGGGTTGTAACCCTATGAAATAGTGAATGAAAGAGGACATTATCAGTCTTTTATTTATACAGGTTGGCAGTGGAAAAGATGATTTTCATATTGCTTCATCTGTATCTTGTTTCACCTTTTTACATATATGCATATGTAGGTTTTTGACACTTTAATATTAAGAACTTGATCAAAAGGACAAATTTCATTGAACATATTATGTAATAGAAATTTGCTACAGTTATGAGAACAAAGTAACACACTTTGCTTCCTTCCTTTTTTTTTTTTTGTACCTGGAATTAAACCTAGGGGTTCCTAACCACTGAGCGACATCCCCATCCCTTTATTATATAGAGATTTTTAATTTTGAGACATGGTCTCACTAAGTTTCTGAGGCTGGCTTTGAACTCATGATCCTCATGCCTCAGCCTCCCAAGCCTCTGGTATTACAGGCTTATGCAACTGCACCTGGCTTGTAACACACTTTTCTTTATACTTTTATAAAAAAATATAATAATCCATCAAAATGAATGCCAACAATTTATGAAAATCTAAAAATAAAATAATATTATATATGGAATTTTACTAATTTGATATCATTAAACCAAAACATTCTGATGAAAATTACATTTATTTAGAAAARCACAAAAAGAACATTAACTAAAGCAGTCTAATAATGCCAACTACATTTAGGTGCCATGGAAGGCAAATATGTATGGATTCATTTAATTCTCGCATAATGGTTTTGCCATTTCACCAATGGGAAACCTGAGGTTACTAGAGGCTGTTAACATGCTGGGCTAACATAGCAGCTGTCAAACTCAGAATTCAAACCTAACATTTTTATTTTCAAAGCATATATACTCTCTTGTATGTCAGACACTGCCTCTCTGCATCAAATTTTTTCCTTATAACTCTTAAAAAAAACTCTAAGAAACATAAATCTTATTTTAGAAGTACTTATATATATTTCAACAACAATATAAAAATGCTTTCCCTTCTATTATACTGAGTTTTATTTATATTTCCTCCTATAACACTCTGTATGCTCTAAGAGAAAAGAAATAATTTCAATATATCTTCCCCAGTACCTAGAAGCTGTTTTTATAATGTTCAATCTGTTGAAACAAATGAAACCTATAATGATCCTCAGAGTTTTTTAACTGACCTTAAGTCTAAATAAATACTTACAGTGGGTAGACAGCTTCATGAGTACAGTGTACTGTGGTAACATAATCTGGACTTGGGTTGTAAAGCATCGTGTACCAATCGGAAAGCATCAATACTCGACATGAACGGATATAAAGAACACCGACAGGATCACTCACAAGTAAGGTGATGATAGCTGCCATACTGCATTCAAATAATGCAGTGACATGTTGGAAAAGTGCACTGGAGCTAGAAAAACAGAGAGTCATGATTTCCAGAAAAAATTCCATATTGAGATGGCTTTAATAAAACAAAGTACATGTTTCAAGATTTTGATTCTAGAAAAAAATTTTCACTGCAAGATCCTAAAACTAAAAAATCTTCTAAAGAGATCAGAAAAGCCAAACATATAAGAAAACTACTTGAGAAGGGTGTTCCCTTATTTTTTAAAAAAGGATATTCATATCCCAGAGGATACTGTGCTAATATTATTTAAAGGTGTAACAGAAGAGCAGAAATTAGGTATCTACTTTATATCTTTATTATACTGCCAAATTGTTATTAAATTTTTTTAGTTATCTATGCATCATTTTAAATTGCCTTAATAAGTACATAGAAGATGATATGTAACGTGTCAGTTATAAGGTATAACAATGTAATAAACACTGCTTAACCCAGCAACTAAAACACGCTCAACAACTTATAACTATTTCTTAGTTCCTCCCCATTCCACACTCCTAGTGGTATCCATTATGCTAAATTGTTTTATTGGGTTTTTTTCTAAATAGTTTTCATCCCAATTACATTTGTGTTTCCAGATTACTCTGTTCAGTTTGGCTCATTTAAATCATATTCCTCTAATGTGAGTCTTTTGGGCTTTTTTTCCCATTCAAAATTACATTTCCAAGATTTGTCCATGACATTGCTTACAGCTAAGCTTCAAGCATTTTCACTTCTGTGTAAGATTCCATTGTGTGACAGTACCATGATTTATCTACTTTAGTTAAACATGTTGCAAATATCTTCCTCTCAGTTTGTGGGCTCAATTTTCACTTTCTTTGTGATCTTTATGAACATGTTCAAAATTTTAATACAATTGTCTTTGATAATTTTTTAACAAAGAGGCTGTTAAATACTTTAGCAGTTTAAATGCTTTATTCAAATACTTCTATACCTCAATATAAGAAAATATTATCCTACGTTTTCTTCTAAAATTTTTAAGGTTCTGCTTTTCATGTGTCAATCTCTAACTCACCAGAATAGATTTTTGTGTAGGATCTAACTTTAGATATTCCCATATGGAAATCCAATTGTCTCAGAAACAGCATTTTATTGAATATGCATTTCTTTCACCCAACTAACTTGCCATGCCACTCCTGCTATAAAAAGTTTCATACATAATTCATCTCTATATGGTCTTTCTAATCTTCTGCCTCAAAGGAGCCAGTCTCTCCTGGGGCAACTTCATAAGTATATTTTCCAAGATCCTATAAGGGACATGCCAATCACAGGAATCAAATGAAAYCTATAATGATCCTCAGAGTTTTGAGACAGGTTCTCAATAAGCTGCTGAGGCTGGCTTTGAACTCAGGATCCTAATGCCTCAGCCTCCCAAGCTTCTGGGATTACAGGTGTATGCCACTGCATCTGGCTTGTAATACACTTTTCTATTATACTTTTACAAAAAAAATCCATCAAAATGAATGCCAACAATTTATAAAAATTCTAAAAATAATATTATATATGGAATATTGTTAAACCAAACATTCTGATGAAAATTACATTTATTTAGAAAAGCACAAAGAAGAACATTAACACAGCAGTTTAATAATAATGCCAGCTACATTCAGCAATTTGGCAAGACCCTGCCTCAAACAATAAAAAAGGTCTGCAGATGTTGCTGTAAAACACTCCTGGGTAAATTGCTGAGGCCAGCCTCAAACTTGCAACCAGCATGGACCAYTATGCATCCTTTATTTCTTTAAGAATTACAGACGAAGGGGCTGAGGTTGTGGCTCAGCAGTAGACTTATTTTTTATTTTGAGGCAGGATCTCACTAATTTGTTTAGGGTCTCACTAAGTTGCTGAGGCTGACTTTGAACTTATGATCCTCCTGCCTCAACCTCCCAAGTTGCTGAAATTACAGGCATGAGCTATTGCACCTGGCTGTGCTCAGTACTATTTAACATATTTCATATTTTCTATCTCCTTCCCTCTTAGCACTACATTCCATTATTTCTTGATATGGAATTTTTCTAATCCACTATCTTTAACTGTTTAAGCTGCTGATCACCTTGCTTTTTTAACATGGCAAGTGTACATCTTCATTTTAAGAAGTTCCTTTGTTTCCTCTAATCCACTTTTCTGATAATCTCTTGATGACTGGGCAGCTTTCTGACTGCATCCTTTATTTCTTTTAAGAATTACAGAGGTAGGGGCTGCAGTTGCTCCCCTAMTGCAAGGTGCTGGGTTCCATCCTCAGCACCCATAAAAATAAACAAATAAAATAAAGGTATTGTGTCCAACTACAACTAAAAAAAAATATTTAAAAAGAAGTATTACAGAGGTAACAGTTATCTATCCTATAATTCAAATCCATTATCTACAGTCCTTTGGGGGCACAAATATATTATTTGTTACATCTACCAATTAGTTTTTAAATATGTGATTTAACTTTCTTGCTATGGTATGAATGTTTGTGTGCCCCAGTATTCATATGCTAAAACCTAAACCCAATGCAACACAATTAGGAAGTAGAGACATTAAGAAATAATTAGGTGGGGCTGGGGATGTGGCTCCAGCGTGCTYGCCTGGCATGCATGCGGCCCGGGTTCGATCCTCAGCACCACATACAAACAAAGATGTTTTATGTCTGCCGAAAACTAAGAAATAAATATTAAAAATTTAAAAAAAAAAAAAGAAAAGAAATAATTAGGTAATGAGGGTRAAGCCCTTAGGGCATTAGTTCCCTTATAAAAGAGGTCTRAGGGAACATGTTTGTCCCTTCTACTAATTGAGCACACTGTAAGAAGGTGCCATCTGTGAAACAGAGTGAGCCTTGATCTGGAATTTCCCAGCCTCCAGATCTGTGAGCAATATAGTTCTGTTGTTTATAAATTACATAAGGTATTATGTCATAGCAGCTCAAATGGACTGAGACACTCTCATTCCAACTACCTGCTTTATCACTCTGCTCCCAGCCTGTCATCCAGTGTGAGTTTCTGTTTTTTAAAAAAGAAGAATTCTCAAGAGATTCCCCCTACCTCTGGTGAGACTAGCAATATCTAAAATAGTAAGGTCTTTCTGGACCTCCGTTATTTTACAAGGGTCACTTGAAACTCTTAATTAGCCAACATGGTTAGAAGCAGAACTCCTAGACCATTTTACAAAGGGGAAAACATTAGAGACAGAAATCCCAAACTTATTCTTTCCTATTCTCCTCCCTTCCTTCCTTCCTCTCTCCCTCCTTCCCTTTCTTCCTGTTTTTGGTACTGAGGATTGAACCCAGGAGTGCCTTACCACTGAGCCACATCCCTAGACCTTTTTGATTGTTTATTTTGAGACAGGGTCTTGCTAAATTGCTAAGGCCAACCTCAAACTTGCAACCAGCATGGACCACCATGCTTGGCTTCGTGCTATTACTTATTATCCTCTTTGAAGGTGTCATGGTGTTCCTTCAATCCATCTGCAGTCACCTATGTGATCTTTACAACKCGAAGGCCAATTCTAAAATTCCCTCTGTGAAACCACAGTTATTCACTGCTAGTAACGCTGTAGTCAAGAAAGGACCACAAATGAGACAGTGATCCCGTAAGATTGTATTGCTTACTTATCTCGAAGCTGTCCTGTTGTCTGCACAATGATAAAAGTGTCTAACAGTGTCAGAACATATCCCTGCTTTTAAGCAGTATGTGACTGTACTTCAGAATCTCTTCTGGCTTTCAGGAAAAACACTCCTCACCAGCACCTTTGACAACTCCCAGCCATGCTAAATTTCTTTAAATTCTCCTGTACCAATTTTGGATGAAAACACATTTCACTATCTGGAAAAGTGTGTATCCTTCAAGGTGAGTTCTGGTTTTATTCAATTCCTAGGACTCTAACAGTCCCAAACATCTTTATAGTCTAGCCTCATGCAGTCCTTCTTTCTAATGTCTTCCTCAGCTTTCATTTCTCGATCAGATGCTCCTTTTCGCTTCCATACTTCTCAGGCTGAGTAAAGGGGGTTCAAGGAGAGGAAAGACATAAAGTAGGAAAAATCCTGAGAAGCTGGAGGAGTTAAAGGAAAATCATTAGAGCAGAAACATACTAAGGGAGAATTTGGCTTCCTATTCTAGTAGAATAAAGTTCACATCCTTATCAAGAACCTGCATATTTGGGCCTCAACCTCCCTTTCCCACTCTCCTTTATATTACCTTTCTTTCATTTGCAACCCATACTTTGACCACCTCAGATCCCACATTTCATACTTCCATGCCATTGTTCATGCTGTCTTTTTACCTAAAGATGATCTACTCTGAAATATTTCAGATTCCATCAGGTACAATTTATCTTTCCATTTTCTGTGACTCTAGAGCATTTTGTTTATAATTTTCATTACATTTAACTCTTTTAGGGACTAGGGTTGTAGCTCAGTGGTAAAGTGTTTGCCTAGCATATGTGAGGCACTGGGTTTGATTCTTAGCACCACATATAAATAAATAAATGAAAAATAAGGGGCCATCAACAACTAAAAATTTTTTTAAATAACTATTTTATTACATTTCTAACAGTGATTATAATTATGCATACATTTGTCTTCCCACAAGATTATCACTAGAAGCCACATCATTGTCCATCTCCTTCCCTGATCTTCCAAACATAAACTACACTACTCAATAAATTTGTTGTCTTAATGTTATGAATTTTTATAATTAGGTTATAGCAATACCATTTTTAACTACATTATACTAGATTATTAGCACTAAATTAAACTACAAGGTATTTTATATAGAACAATAATCAGCTTGTAAAAATAACCAGTTTTTTTTTTTAGAAGATAATAAACAATAAACAGCTTGGGAGGCTGAGGCAGGAGGATTCCAAGTTCAAAGTGGGCCTCAGCAAAAGTGAGGTGCTATGCAACTTGGTGAGACCCTGTCTCTAAATATAAAATACAAAACAGGGCTGCGGATGTGGCTCAAGGTCAAGTGCCCCTGAGTTCAATCCCCAGTATAAACACACACACACACACACACACACACAAACAATAAGAATTATTTTTGAGAAAAAAAATAGTCCTTCAGTAAAATAAAAGAGAGTTCCTTAATAAGGCATGTAGTCCTTCTTTCTAATGTCACCCTCAGCTCTCATTTCTCGATCAGATGCTCCTGTCATTAAGTTTCTTGCTACAGTAAAGTTTAATCAGAATATAAAGAAAAACAGGCTTATCTCCTTTAAAAACAACAGAAAAAGTGTAACTATTCTTCTAAATGAAAATTGGGTTGAGCATGTGCTCAACATGTGCAAGGCCTTGAGTTCAATTACTACCACCAAAATAAATAAATAAATATTCCAACATTGGTGCATCCAGAAACAATCATAGAATGTGCTAACCTCTTTTTCCCAGAGTACCATTCGATGAAGAACCAGTGTAAAACAAGAGGAAGCATAGCCATAAATCCAAGATAGAGCCAATCGTAAAGTTCTGGAGATTCTGTGCAAGGCTGACAATACTTCTGTGCATTTGTTCTCTGTCCTCTTGGGCATACCTACAATATATAAAAGCCATATTTTATGTACAGACAGTACTTTAGAATATTAACACACCCCAAAAAGTCATTCTATAAGATATATTTTAGTTTAATACAGTTGCTTTGTATGTGCAGCTATTTAAAAATTTTTCAAAGTGTCCAAGTGAATAAAAAGAAGACTCATCTTATGTGCTATGTCTTTAAAATTCTCATAAAGGGTTCCTTTTATTTTGTTACTAAATAGTTACCATTTAATTAAAAAATCTAATTTTTAACAACATGTAAAAAAATTTGCAGAGAAATTGTCTGAAGTTATGTTACTGTATAAGTCACTGTACTAAAGCATTTAAAAAGTAATTAGAATTTACTGTAAAATTATAATTTTTTWAAAATACCTGTGACTATCAAGAAAGATGTAATACATTACAAATCTCAACATGAAAGTATGAACAAGGATTTTATTAATACCTCCATAATCTTTTCTGAGTATATTTAAGAAAAAAAGATTAAACATGGGAAAATATTTCAAAAGCAAATAGATTTTTACAAATGAAATAACATGCAAACTTACCCCACATTCTCCATATATTTCAGTTGAGCCATTTTTAAATAATAGGGTCTTCCCACAATAAAGTCCAAGGCATGCTGGTTGAATATCGACAGCTTTTTAAAAACAAACGCCAGTATAGTAACATCTTTTGTGATTATAAAAAAATAATGCAATAATAGTGAAGGATTTGGCAGATATATGGCAACATAGTTTTGATTTTTAAAATGACATGTATTAGACAAACCTCCTTATGCATTTATTTTTTAATTTCTCCTTTTACGCTGTGGCACTGCAGAAAGTTAAATTAAAACCTTGCTCTTAATACTTGTGCCTTATGATTAAGGTCCTCAATTAGCCAAGCGGGTTTATCCCCATAACTCAAAGCCTAACCCAGGTATGTCTCCAATGGTTCCAGAAAGCCTCCCCCCTTGTAGAGTTGACTTTGAATTTTATTGATAATAGAGCTCAAATATATAAATATATATTTTTTTTTACAAAAAACAGGACTGWTAAAGGATCATCACTTTTTATTTTACCCAGTTCAGGAATTAAGCACATACAATCTATTATAATCTTTGTTCATAAGAACATAACAACACATTTTAATAGCAAAAAGGACAATTTCAGAATAGAAGGTAAGCCTTTGAGAGTAAATACATTCACCTCTATAAAAAAATTCCTATATTGTCCTAGCTTTTATCATTTTTTTGAGGACAGGCAAAAATTTCCCCAAGGTTATTATTGGGCCTCTGACCAAAATTTGGGCACAAGTGCCTTAGAATCAAATCCCTGAACTCAAAGCTGGTGCACGTGTGGGGGTGGGGGTGGGAGTGGGGAGTAGGTGGGAGGGAAATAAGTCTTCTTTACCAAAAAACTTAAGACCTACAGATCATCTTGGATCTCATCCACCAGAAAAAAATTGTTGGAAGAGTTTTTCATACGTGACATCTAATTCCCTTATGCACTAGCTCATTCTTTGAATAAACACGTACTGAGATTATTTTCACTAGTTAAGGGCCACTAAAGGTCCACAGAGAAGCATGACAGAGTCCCTGCTCTCTAAGAACCTATAGCCTAATGTGGAATAAATCCAAATCAACTATGGTATAAATGTGAATTGATTTGGAAAATAATGCATTTTATGACTATACTTGAACAATCTTTTCCCAAATTCTTCATAATTTCACAATTGAGACTGCCTTATCTACAGGCCTTTTCACCTTTCAAATTCCATTTATTTCTCCTGCTGCTGCTGAGAAATAAACAGAAAAGACACTAGGTAAAATGTCTCAAGTTTAGTATTTTTGATTTTATCAAATATTGGACTTAGTTTTGTAAACACATGAGCTTTTTGTAGCTTTTTAAAATAGGCAACTATAATCAATTACAGGATTCTAAATACATGAAAATAAATGTTTCAAGAAGGCAAAAGTTAAAGAATTGGAAGCTTCTGCAAGGGCTTTATATCTAGTAGATGCTTAGTAAATCTATTTGAATGTRCATAATCTAATGTTTCTCGAGATCCAAGACCTGAAATATCCTGTACGATAAACTGAAAGCAACAGCTCACCATCTACCAAACAAAACCCAGGCTCCAAAAGTCTGTTCAATTTCCCCTTTAATTTCCTTTACTGAACAATGGTTAAAATTTTAGAAGATTTTTCCCCCCAACGGTCTGTCTGTGAAGGGCCCTATAATCTTAAAGCGCGGAGAATGAAGCAGGAGATATTAATCTATGCAGTAATTAGCTTCTGCTCCTTTACTGTTTTTCTGTTCTAACGCCCGCGCTCTTAATTCATTAATGCATTTCCTCCGCATTACACAAAGGGACTGAAGTGACATTTCATACAGAACAACAAAAGGCTGGGCCTCCCCCCCCCCCCATAACAGCCCGCGCCCCCTTGCAGCCTGTCAGGAGCAGACACCACTCAACCCCAGGAGGTGTCCAGGGCCCGGCCCCACGGCAGGTGGGAACCAGGGAGAGAATGAGCCGCTAGAGATGGCTGCCCACCCGCAGCCGTACCCGGAGCCAACTGCGTAGGAAAGAAGCCGGGACTAAAACAAGCTCTTCCAAATCCCGTTGACCACTCACCCATTGGCCGCTGGAAGGTTTGCTTCAAGTAGCTCCGGGATCAGTGGACACGACAGGGGCACTCGGACATCCGGGCTACAGCAGCCTTGGCGGCTCCGCCTCCTGGTAACCCGGGCGACCGCCAGAAACCCCGCCCACACTTCCTGGTTTAGTCTCAATGCCCCACCCCTAAGGCTGCCACGCCCACTAGCCTTCTGGGTTAGGGTGAGTTGTAGGTTCCCATCCWCGGGCGAGCACCGCTGGGCAGTGGTGGAGCTGCTGCACACCGACAATGGAGAGCGCGCTGGCCGTGCCCCGCCTACCCCCACACGACCCGAGGACGCCGGCGCTGTCGGTGGTGGACATGCACACGGGCGGCGAGCCCCTGCGCATTGTGCTGGCTGGGTGTCCAGAGGTGGAAGGGCCCACTTTGCTGGCTAAGCGGCGCTACATACGCCAGCACCTTGACTACGTGCGGCGGCGACTCATGTTCGAGCCCCGGGGTCACCGGGACATGTACGGAGCTGTCCTGGTGCAGAGCGAGCTTCCGGACGCTCACCTGGGCGTTCTGTTCCTGCACAACGAGGGCTACAGTTCCATGTGCGGCCACGCAGTGCTGGCGCTTGGCCGCTTCGCCCTCGACTTCGGGCTGGTGCCTGCACCCGCAGCCGGCACCTGCGAGGCCCGAGTCAACATCCACTGCCCGTGCGGGCTGGTGACCGCTTTTGTGGAGTGTAAGGGCGGCCGCAGTTGTGGCCCTGTGCGCTTCCACAGCGTCCCGGCCTTCGTGCTGGCCTCAGGTAACTAGCGGGACCCTCCATCCTCTATCCGGAACGAAACTAACCACATTAACTGTCTCTCTGGGTTGGAACCCAAGCGGTGCAACTAACACACTCYGCTTGCCCCCGCAACCAATAAAAAGGTGATTCCAAATCACTGCAAACTTGTGTCAGCATCTTGAGCTTTGCAGATTCGGCGCGTGCAGTTCAGTTAAACCGCAGGAGATCCTGGAGCGGTGAAGAATTGGTGCTTTGCTTACTGAGAGCCTTTTAGGCCTTTTCTTGCATTCCTAGATTTCACAGTTGAATAAAGCAAARCACACTAGCTAGGGTCAAGGAAACAGCAAAGAATAGCCAGTATCAGGGCTCCAAAGTATGTTTGATAAACACATTATTATTCCTAACGAGTTACTAAATATGGTCTTCTGTTAAAAGTGCCTTTCCTCTTTGGATAAGAATTGGAGAATGAAGTGAAGATATAGATGTTGCTGTTCTTAATTGCTTTAAGAACAGGGACATGGCCTGGGTTCAAATCCTGCAACCACTTAAAACTGTGCATCCTTAGATTATTTAACCTCTCTGAGCTTGTTTCTTCATTTATCTCATAGAGTTTGTTAGGTTTAAATGATAGTATGTTGTATACTTAGAATTTTAAAACTATATAAAATGTGTTCCTTGAGGTGGAAAGATTGCAGGATGTGTAAGGGTTGTTGAGAGGAATTGGGCTGTGAATGAGACTAGAACAGGCATTTTTCAGTCTTAGAGCAAACTTAGGCAATTTAAGCACACAAGTTGATGATGGATGCCTCTGGGGAAATTGATTCCATTTTCCCCTTAGGAGAGAATAGTGTCACATTCCAATTGGCATTTGAGGGAGACAGAATCTATGTTTAGAATTGCATCTAAAAAAAACCCTCAATGGTTTACTGATGCTACCTAGTTTTCCCCTAGATAACCCCAGCTGCATTAAAAGCACTAGATTTTGTGGGAATTGACAGCTGGTCACCAACTACATCATAGTTCTGGTTCAGTTAGGGCAAGGGAAGCCAACCCCTCAAGGACAATAGTTTCTGAGAGCATCTCCATGTGACATCACAATAATTGGTGGATAGTAATGGTCACTTTGAATAAAGAAAATGAAATCCTATATTCTCTACTTGGAAAACTGCATAAAAGGCAGATGGCAGTATTCAAGGTCACTTGCTTTGCATCTCCATATTCAGTGACCATGGGCAAGAAAGTCCATGCTTCCATGTCACAGTCTGTAAAATGAGGATGACTGCAGTACCTACTTCAGAGGGCTGCCAAGTTCATCTCCAACACACAACACTAAAGGGCATTCTCCTATGTTTTGTTTACTGTGTTCCAATTGCCTAGAATAGTAGGTAATCAATGAATATTTATTGAATAAGTAACTAAATGAAATTTAGAAGAATATGCTGATTTGCAAATGTAGCTGTCTGTTCCCCTTGAGAAACTTATTCTCACTGGAAATTAAACTTTTGTCTTTATTGTTAAGATGTATTGTATCCCTAATCTGTACCAGGCACTGCCCACACATTATCATGTAGAATTTTGAAAACAACTCTTAGGAAAAATAGCAATTCCATTTTATACACAAGGACACCTGCCCTCTGGTAGGTACCAATCTACACACTCACACCCATCATTTAACCATAGGTTTCCATATTCAGCAGTCCTTCGTTACTATTTACTTCCTCATTCTCCTTTCCTTAAGTAAGTGAGGCCAATCAGATTGCTTCCCTCTCATCCTTAAAGTGTTTGTTATTTGAAGAGATGTTTATCAATTTTCTGGAAAACTAATGTATGACACCTTGTTCACACATATGGCATGTTTTTAAATGTCTTTCTTGTCCAACTGAACCCCCAAAAGGGCAAAGGCAATGTTTTATTTATTTTACTTCTTGTATACCTCTTAGATAATATACAATAATTAGCATATAGTAGTAGGTAGCCACTAAATCTCAGGTGAAGTAAATCAAATTAAAACTGTAGTGATAAGCTTGTATAAAATAAAAGGAAAAACCTTAAATTTTGGATTGAGTTCTAAATAGAGGTTGTATATTTTAGTGGAAAAGGTTTGGGTGTTAGAGTCACACCTCATCCCAAGTTTGATTCCAAGCTCCACCACTGATTTTTTGTGTAACAGAGAATAATGTGAAGACAGTAAATAATGTAGTACAATCTCTTAGGGCTGTAGTAATTACAACATTAATGTAATGAATCAATGTGAACATACCTGGCACTTAAGATGTAGTCACATGAGAAATAAATATCTTGATTTTTAATGTTAGTAAATTTCTGATTAAAAAATAAAATATTAATGGAATAATATTAATGGACAGAAGAAAATTGAAACTCAGATATATTATCTTACCCAATTGCCCATTCTAAGAAAACTAGAGCCCAAGATTTTAAAGAGGGTGGACTAGGGGAGCAGTTACAGGCTCAGTGACCACTTGAGCCAGCTCTCCCACTCCTCCCTGGTGCAGGATTGGGGCCAATGCCTTGTTTAGCTACACAGTCAAGAAGATGGTCCAGGCAGACTAAGTCACAGACTGTTACTCCTGCCCTCTGGTAGGTACCAATCTACACACTCACACCCATCATTTAACCATAGGTTTCCATATTCAGCAGTCCTTCGTTACTATTTACTTCCTCATTCTCCTTTCCTTAATCCTGATTTCAGGTTGCATCCACATCATGATGAAGACATTTTTCAATGTTGCTGTTAAGATCCACAGACACATTTCATTCTTTTGATTATAAATTTTCTTTATTTCAACACATATGTTACAAGGACTTCTGTAGATTAGACCTAACTCCTAGTATACTGGTATTGCTGTATTACTCTGTAAAACTCGGGTACAGAAGAAATATTTTCTTTTTCACAACTTATTTTCTAAAATTGAGAGCCCATTCTGTCCTGTTGGGTGACTTGGCCCCATGCATGTTATATGTGTGAGCAAAGGTTTCCTCAAAGTGCCACGCTTCAGAGGAGGGCCCTTTGGCCTAGCTTGCACAGCTGACCAGTGAAGTGAAGCTGGTCAGCCTACTCCTTGTGGCCCTTGTCCTCATCCCTGCACTGCCCCTCCTGGTTGGCTGTGCTGTCCCACCCTAAAGCCCTCCTGTGCTGTGGGGAAGTCAATACAGTCCTCTGTACTCAGGACATTTAGCCTCCTCTCTCCCTAATCCAAAAGAAATTATCAGCTAATAGAAATATTTCTCCTTTCAGACACTCTAGCCAACAAATGCCTTTCCCCTGAGAATTAGGTTTCCATTAAAAAAAAAAAAAAAGAACTACTTTCTCCCTTGCCAGGTGCCTTCCCCAAGGCAGGGACTACCAGACCAGCTTGAATTGGAGAGAAGGAAGAGAGGAAAATATCAAAAGGAGTACCATTATGGTTTGGATATGTGGTTCCCCAAAAGCCCACATATGAGACAATGCAAGAAAATATAGAAATGCTTGGTTAATCAGTGTATTAATCTGCTTGAATGGTTTAACTGGGTGGTAACTGTAGGTAGGTAGGTGGGGTGTGGCTGGAGGAAGTTGGTCACTGGGGATGTGCCTTTGGGATATATATTTTGTCCCTGATGAACATTGCTTTTTGTGCTTCCCAAGTGTCATGTTCTGAGCTGCTTTCCTCTGTCACTCCCTTCTACCTTCATGTTCCGCCTCATCTCAGGCACAGAGCAATGGAGTCTGCCAACTATGGACTTAGACCTCTGAAACCAAGATCCTCAAATAAACTATTCCTCCTCTAAAGTTGTTCTGCTCAGGTCTTTTGGTCATAGTGGCAAAAATCTTACTAAAACAGGTAGAAACACTTTTAATGTCCCAAAACATTTTCTAACCCATTCCTTTGGAAATGCAGATAAAGGATTTCAAAGAACTGACCTTTAGGTGGAACTTTAGATATGTAAAAATCCTGATACAAAAATAACACTATGTGATGTCTTCTATTGTACAATGGCTTTTTCCTGAGTCTTTGCAGAATCACTTTGAGATGAAACATGCAGATGATGTTTGTATATAATTTATAGAAAAAAAATTCTTTCAAAAATTTTGTTTTGACCTTGCATTTGAAGAAAATCAATTTGTGAATAGAATTCAAATTCTATTTTAAACTGTTACTAGTAGTAAAATCAGGGACCTATATTTTCCTTTATAAGGATCAATTTGATTCCTGAGGGTTTTCCCTCCCTTGGTCTCTATGTTGTTTCTCAGAAAAGGGCTTCATAGTAGTTAACAAATATGTACGTATGATATGGGGTGTGACAGCATTCAAATGTTTTACAAC